CCTACACCACTAACAAACCTCCATTGGACACCCCTTGAAGGTCCAGGACATCATACCCAGTTTCGGCGGCGATTCTCCCAGTTTGGACCCAAATCCGTCCAAGACAAGGCCACTGGAGGCATGATGAAAGGTTGGACGCACGCTCTGTCCGCCATGCCTGGCACTGGTCGAAGGCGAGGGAGTCGGGGAGATGGGACGAGGGGAGGGGGTGCCGCGCCAATTGGAGGATGATGAGATTGAGCGTCGTTTTTGTTGGCGAGGTGAAGCAGCTTGCGGGAAAGCAACAGCTCCACCATGTTGGGTTGCCTCATGACTCATAACAAATTCTCCTAATGAGCGCTCAGTCATAGAGCATTACAGTACCCTTTGCGATCTAGAGTCCCCCCACAGCCTGGACCGCCCTGAAATCCCAGATGCTTTCACATGAACCCCCGTCCTCATCCCGGCTCTCTACCAACAGGAAAGTGAGCGGGGGGAGTCGTCAGAGACGTGACGAAACTTCCTCAAAGAAACAGCCACCAATGGCCCCCTATGTTCTATGGGTCACCAATGGGGGCCATAGTGGTTTTGTCTTGATGAGGACTGTAGAAAGGTTTTGATGAGGCCTTTTGTAGGGATTCGTAACATTGATGTCTTTCAAATCTTGCTGTTGTTGAGCATCCAAACCAAAATGGTAGTTAGTCTACCAATCGCTCTTGTCCTTCTGAGACGAGCACCGCGAACGCGTAGGTGACGCTTCGGTCTGCTCCAGCTTATCAGTCAGGCTCCTGGGCAGCACAACGAAGCACCAAGACTTGGGCGAACGTTCGGTGTCCCGAGGATGGAACATCGGAGACATCCGGGATTCAGCGAACATTTTCACCTGATGTGATTCACCAACTCCAGGGTGCACTCCCTTGCAACATCGTCACGCGAAATGTCCACCTATGTCCACCTGATTTGGGTGTTGAGTGGACCATTTTCCAAATGAACTGTCCACCCGTTTTCCTTGTTAAGTGGACCCATTGTCCCCATTGAACGGTCCCACCTGTTTGGTGTTGAGTGATCCACTCACACTCCCGGAGTGCGTGCGTGCGTAAGCCCATTCCGGGTGGGTTTCGGGCGTCTGAAGCGGTCGGATTTTCCCATGGGCAACGGGACCAGTAAAGGATGCGCGGCACAACCAAAGCAATACATGCACTACCCAAGCAACCAGCACCTTCAAAGGGGTCACCAATGGAAGACCCTGCACTACGTACTTGTGGATCTCCATTGGCCAAGGTATAGGTGTACCTGGAACTTCCTCAGAGTGCTTTTTTGTCGATCTGCGGCGTGAAAAACATCTTTTGGAGTCACAGCCTTGAAATTTGAGTCTGCGGATGTTTCTCTAGTTTTTTAATGGTTTTCTGATATTCCAAGGGCATTTATACACAAGCTAAGGGCATTTATTGGTGAGCCTAAGGTATTTTTCCCAAACATTTGTTTTAAGCTTATGTTTATGTGGTTCACAGACCTATATATAATACAGGTATGTTGAACCACCGACCAAAAAAAGCAACCACGAGGTTGCAGGTATAATCAAAAGACTTTACTCAAATATAATGATCCTCACCAAAATTCCGATGTCCCTGCTCCCGAGCCTGCGGAGCAAAAAAAACAGTATCACATGTAAGAAAAAAGTGCATGCACGAACCGCCATCGACCACGAGCTAGGCTCTCCTCGATAGGGAAGGCTGGCTCTCCATCGTCTTTCGATGGACAGGGCTTGAGGGCAAGCCTTGGTTCCCCCGGCGTGGAGTCTCGGAGTCTCTGTTCTTCCTGCTAGGCCGAATTGACATGTTCGCAGTTCTGAGGGACGTCATGTGGCCGGCCATGCCTGTTGGTCATGGCACCAGGAGACAACGGTTTGACCTACCCAGGGGTCGATCTTTCGCATTCTTTCGCTACATACCCTCTGAGAGAGCTCGGGGATGTGGAGTTTCCGGTCCCAAGCCTGCTCAGAGTGGAGCCTTGCATCTCCCAAAGACCGCCTAAGCCACGCCAGTGTTCACACCTCCACCCAGCAAATGCACCAAGCAGCTTTGGGAGTTGAGAGTGCACCGGCCAGCATGTTTCTGCATGGCTGTCCTTAGTTTGGAGAGATCCCAAGTGGCAAAATGGACGAAACATCTATCTCACTGGACAATCCACATTTTGAAGGAGAACACTGCTGAAAGTGAACCCGAATCTGCTGAGGAACTTGCCCACGCAAAGCAGATGTTGTTGGGGTCAAACACAACCATTCACATAAGAAACGCCCCACAAGGCGATTTCCAACTTTAACATCCGACTAAATTCTTGTATCTCGTTCCACGAATTATATTCGACCCGCCTTTTGGTCAAAAGATGGTAGCGGTCTCCAAACCGACTGCACTCTCATTGCACCCAAACGAGCTGATGTTTTGCCACAATCCTTTCTGCTCAAAAGCTCTACTGAGGGCGAGGATTGCCTTTTTGAAAAGATCAATCCCTATGGGATCCTGTCGTGCCTTCTCAGAAGGTACGACTGGAACGTCCAAACCTACATAACAGCTTCTGAGGTCTTGGATCCCTGGGGAATGTTGCCCGGAGTGTCTAGAATGCAACATGTTGCACATATTGAACTGGTCGCTTGCTCTCATGCCCTTGTCGCCCCAGTCAGTGCGACCAAAGCAATGCAGCAAACTCCCTGGAACAAAGCGACCACCCTGCTCACACTTGTGTTTCTTGCTTGACCTTCTTGACCAAACACACGCCAGCCGCTCAGAAAAAAAAGACGCGACAGCGTTTTCCATGCTATGAGTTCTGAGTATATAGATGTATATAGTCCTATTCTGCTATGTAGCTGCTATGTGGTCTTTTCCAACTGACCGGTCTAGGAACAACGAACCAAGGCCTTGGGAAAACATGAGTCCAAACCTGGAACCCGACCGTCGTCCATGGGTCCCAACGCCCGTCGGTTTCGCGCGCGCCGGTAGGTCATGCTTATAGGTCTCCTGGTGTTGACCCACATCCCCTTGCGACCCAGGCTCGGAGTCCCGCACCTGGGGCCGGTGTGTTTCTCGGCTTCCAAGAGGGAAACGGTACCAAGCCACATGAGTTACTAGCTAGCCAAATGGTCCAAATGGTCCAGGCTGGACTTGTAGGGTTGTTTATTTAAAATACAAATGACATAACGAAATATGTAAAAAAGTAACCCTACGGTCCAAAGCTGGTCTTTAACCTCCACTCCAGGAGTGCTTTTTGTACGACCAACTCCAGTAAAATCAGGTCTTTGACCGAATGTAGACTGTAGACTGTTGACTACACTCCCCAGGATCATCATCGAAGTGGATGTGATGGCTTGTTGGATGACCCTTTTCCAAATCCCAAACCATTGTTTTTCTACTGAGTGTATATGTCCAACCTCCATATGAAGAGGTTTGCAATCCAAGGGGGGGGTAGTTCTATTCATCATCCGTCTACATGACTAGACATCGCAATGGCGCCATGTCTAGACATCGCGTTGGACTGCCGGGCCTTCTTGGGGTCCAAGGAAAAGCAGTGAACATCGATGAATCGATAGGGCCGGGAACATGAGAACACTCGCCCACTTCAGACTTGGAGCACAAATCAGCATCATCTGCACCAAGTCTGAAACCATCAGCATCATCTACCGCTGTTTCAGCGTGGTGTGCTCTCTTCTCCCCCACTTCTCCCCCTATAGTCTCTGGAGTGGTCTCTGGCAGCTAGCCCACAGTAGTAACACCATTGGATGCCACAATGGACGAATTCTTCCTTCTTGAGCATACAAACTCTTGATTCATCCCACAGCCAACCATCGCAGACCTTTTTGGGTGCTGGGTGAGCTTCTCCTCTTCTCCCCGCTCACCCCCTCCCCGGGTTCGGTCCAAAGCACGTGAAGCCACATTTGCACTTCAAGAACTCCTGGCCGTCCAGGTCACGGTGAGCAAGTGAGCTCCCTCTATAGAGGGGCCGATTGTTTCGTGTGTTGCTTCCGAATGCTAGGTGAGTTCACACTGCAAGAACGATGGAGGTGGATGGCATCTCTGAAGGCGAAGGCGACGCACATATAATCCACACGTAACACGAAGAGTTGTCTTTTTGGCAGGGAGGGTTCTTTTTCCTTCGGCCAGCCACGTTTGTTCTACCTTGCAAGTGCCTGCCAAAGGTCCATCGACTGCTAAGGTGGCCCATGTCTAGTGAGTTCCCTTGAAGGGACACATGATCCTCTGAAACAAAATCGATTGAATACGCCCAAGCCCCAAACCCACTGCAGCGCTACAGGCATCTCGGACATTCTCGGTCGAACCTGATCCGCACCGACCGGAGCTCCCACATACGCCGCGGTCTTTTTCCACGTACGTCCGCCGCTTCCCCCGGTGGGCGGCTTGGCATGTCGCGATACGCTCAGCGGCCGCGGCTGTCACGGCGGTCGCGGCGGTCGTCTCGATCCCGCCTGAGGCAGGGGGTATAGCGCCCTATAGGGAGTTGACTCTTGATTCATCACAAACCACTCATGAGTTTTACAGTTTTAGTGTGTTACAGTGTTTACAGTCAACTCTTCCTTTCCATATGAAAAGAGTTTTACATAGTTTTACCATCCAAAATGGGGTTATTGATCTTCCACCCTCCCACCCTCCCACCCTTTTCTTCCGCCTGTCATCCCGCCGGTCGCGGCTGCGGGATCTGCGGTCCCGCCGGTCGCGGTCGTTGCGGTCGCCGCGGTGCTCGCGGTCGTGGCCGCCCTTCTCACCCTTCTCACCGCCTTTTCCTTGGCCTCCAGCGGTGGAGGCTGGTGAGGTGCTCCCTCCATGACTCACTTAATTACTTAGTCTGGAGAGGGTCATGCAGCCACTTACTGTATAGTTGCTACTGTAGTAAAGAGGCAATAGCTTGACCGAAGTGGATCGACCTCCTTTGATTCATCATGTTACCATAGAACATGAACTTGAAACAGCTGACACCTTCTGGGGACCGCGGCAATTTTTTGAGCGAACACATCAAAAGACCCATGGGAAAAACAGATTCCAACAGGTTCCAACCATCTCCAAGCCATCTGATCTCTCAACCGATCGGCCTATTCTGAAACGGTCGACGTCCGAAGCATGGACCTCCGAAGCATGGGACTGCTCATCCTCATGATTACATATTCCATAAGGTTTCTTTGTCGAGTGAAACCAGGCTCCATTCATGCGCATCCTCACCGAGCTCCTGCAGAGCCATCGACGACACGGGCCGCCTTTGGGCGGTCGCTCGGGAGGATCTGGCAGGATCTCGCCGTCCATCAGCTGCCGGGCGATCTTGCAGAGCCTGCGTGCTTTTTGGGGGGAAGCCCCTGCCAAACGCCCTGAGGTGAGTTGTTGGCGGTCTTTTAAAACGAAGCGTATTGAGATAGATGTATGACACGAAAAGTAAGAAATCTAGATCAATAATACACATGCTTTTATGTTCTATTGTTTTTGTTGGTGATGTCTCTGAACTCTTTCCGATGATTGTGGGACATTTGGGGGGTCTAAGTACGTCTGCTTTTCCAGAGATCTCTGAGCTTGCATGGGAATCTTAACGTTTGCCCTTGGACTTCACGCACGGCGGTGCCCACGTGTTGCATGGTCCGAGGAGCATTGAGGAGGCGTTGCTTGCGGTGTTGAGATGCTTGCGAACGCTGGTGAGGACCACGTCTTCATCGTTCACGCCTTGGTGATTGGTGCAGCCAGCAAGCTATAAATAGGTTAAGTTATGGCATTGATTTGCGCGCAGGATGTCTTCTCCCATAGGCCCTATGAGCACCCTATCCAGCCACATGAAGCAACCCAAATGAAACCAGGCTTTGACCTTGGCGGAAGCTGAGGGTGGGAGATGAAACCCATCTTCAGCTCCCTCAGAATGACCCTCAACTTGGAAGAGGTTTGGGGTCCATATCCCGAAGAGGTCGGGTCCAAGCTCCCTTGGCACGGGCTGGCGAGGGCTTGTCTGGATCAGCCCAACCAGGCCAACCAACATCCCACCCTATAGAGAACCAACACTTGAGAAACCAGCTGCAGCCAGCAGCTCAGAATCTAGCTCAGAATCCACCTCCGATTCGTCTTACAGTAGCACCAATGGAGAATCTGGAGAATCAGTTGATGGAGATGAAAACTACAAGTTGGCAAAACAAAACATTACCTTTAAGCACTGATTCATCTGGTGCCATGATCGAGCCTCTCAGCTAGCGGCAAGGGAACATGAATCGATATCATGATCAATCTGACCACGTGCATGTTGGCGTAGTGGATCATGTCCTGCATCTGCATGTGAGCAATGAAGAATAAAGGCCAATTCGTTGGTTGTCAAACTGTCTATTCTCACTCAACTTTCCAACGTCCCACCTCTCACCCTGTGGATGCCAATCGAAACTAGATCCAAAGAATTGAAAAAAACACCACCACTTCACCACACCTCAACCGCATCCGAATCCAACCGCCTCCGCCGGTATTGGACCAAGCCAAGGGTCGTTTCTCAATAATCTCCCGCATCTTGCAGCAAGCGTCCTGCCGCGATGTGCACGCGCCGCGCTGTGCCGAGGTCAATCCGACCGGTCTGATCCGCCCTTTTGCGATCGATCGCGGGTTCGGCCTCGAAACCCAATGAATGGAAGGACGTCATGGAAGGTAATGGAATGCATGACTGAGTAGACTCATGAGTTCTCAAAAGCCCCGCAGATGATGTGTGACAATCCCAAACGGCGGGGTCTTATTACCCTCAAGATTCTAGATTATAGTAGAGTGGTGTAATTAGAGGAACACAATCATCCATCAGGTCCATGAGGTTCCTTTAGACCCACTGTCAGCAAAAGAACACAAGGCCCGCACCTGGGCAAGTCCCAAACACGAGGCATGCAGGAACTGGCACCCGCGAAACGATCAGGAACCGCCTCTCTGACTTCCGGGCTCGTGAAACCCTGGCCTCGTCCAGCTTGTAGTCTTGCATCACCTTCTCAGCCTGCAGCCCAAAACACCCCTGTGACACTTCAAGTGCTCCGAGATGCGTGAGACGACTGCTGGACACAGCTATTGCAAACCAATCAGAAAACAGCACCAGTCTGCCAACTGTCCAATATCTCTGCCTTTTCAACTATAAAACCAGCTAAACGGCATCAATTGCATAGTTGGAAGAACTAGGTCCAATCCTGTCTCAAGCTGCCGAATAAACTTGGATCTTTCAAATTCGCACGAACAAGCAGGAACCAGGTTCACTAGCATCAAACTATCCAAACAGCACCCCACCGCCCCACCGCCAAAACGGCAGCTAAATGATGCTAAATGGGTTAACTGAACTGGTGCACCCCCCACGGACGTGGCACACCAGTTCGTGGCAGCCACGTTCCCCTTCGGACACGTGACCGATCTCTTCTGAATTGCATCTCATGTGCCCCCCCCAAAAAACGGAACACATCAATATGACTTAATATGACCAAATCATGTGTTGATGTTCTTTTTTAATCTTTCTTGTCATGGTGTTTCTTCTTTTCACAAACAAACAAACAAACAATCATCTCTTACATCTCTTACGTTCTTCTCTCTCACCGCAGCAGAAAACCCTGCACCCCGAACAAAGCAGCTCGGCACCTTGGTGAGGTCGGGCAGCTCATCCACTTCACCTTCCAAGAGCTTCCCCACCTGGGTCGGTTCACGTCGTTTCAGGTCGTTTCAGATCGTTCTTCGTTTTCGGCGCTTGGAGGGAAATGAGGGTGAGACCGGGAAAGTCCAAGGAGAATGTCATTCTTGGAAGGAAAAAACAACGAAAAAGGGGACAAACAAAAGGATACAAAACACACATAAACAAACAATCTCTGAGTGGACGTTTGTTGGGGGTGGGCGGTGCCCAAGTCTCCAGCTTCCGTTTCCATCGTAAAGATCTACGATTTCTGTTCGCCTGATCTGGTGCTGCCCACTTCGGTTGGAAAAAAGGTCGCAGAAACGCTCCCCTGCCAACATGAATGGACAAGTATAATGTTCAATGATGCTTGTGATGCTCTGTTCGCTGAAGCTTGGAAGGTCTCGTTCGTAGACCTCTTTTAAAACATTTCTGACATGTTGCGGCCATCAAGGCTGCACGGTCGATCTTTTGTAGGCAAACCGAGGCAATCAATACCAGTATGGCGAGGCAATGTTCCATGCTTTCCCCAAATACTCTGAAATCTTGCGCCCACCAAGGATTCTCAAGTCCTTTATATATCTCGTTTGAACTCCTTGGAATAAAGCAAAACAATCCAGTACAACTACCATTCTGGGCGACGCCTTCTCAGATTCTCATTAGGATTTAGGTTGCAGGATGAGAATCTGAGTGCAGGCTTCTCATTAGTACTAGCTTGTTTCTGGTTGCAGGTATGGTCTTGCGATTGAGGTCTGTCTGACTGTCGCTCGAGAGCCGCACCAGCAAGGTGCAAAGGGCATTGGGCCGCTTGGCAAAACCTTCGCATTGCTGACGGAGCACCGTATATAGACGTGTGAGATTGAGGAGTGTTTGGCCCTGATTGCTTATGTGTGTCGTTATGGGCTGCATCCTGCTGTTTGAGGAGGGGATTGTGTATGATGAATCCCAGTATTTCATGAGCTCGATCACACACTACAGCTTGGATCATGGGAATTCCTGGTGTCCAACTTGGTTTGCCCAAGCCGGCTTCAAAAGGTGGATCTTCTCCAGGTGGGTGACGCTTACTGCTTAGAATTGTCGTGGAAGTGAAGTTTGGATACTTTCTAAAGCCTAGGGCCTAAGGATCCACTCCCACCTTCGAAGGTACGACTGGACTCTCCTGGCACCTACAAGGTGTCTGCAATCACCGTACCTGCGAGGGTATGTGCCATAGGGAAGTATGTTTGCGTCCTCTTGATGCCTGATTGTTTTCCCACGTGCAGAACAAACATGCAGCCGGCGCAATGGCCCTCCCTGCGCCAAAGCTTCCCAAACCAAGCGGCTGCAATACATTACACATTGACTGACATGACAGAACATATATTATATGATATAAACATGATTATAAAAAAGATAATAACGATAATATATTTTATTATACGGTGTATTTTAATATATATATATATTATATAATATGCAGTTATATACAGTATACACATGATCTTGTCCCCAACCCCCGTTCCATCTAGGAGCGAAGGTGATATTCAATCCGTTCTAAGTCTTTGGTGGCCCGCTCCTGAGATCGGGCACGCGGACCGGCGGATCACTCCCACCGGGAACCGGTGCGAACGGCACCCGTCCCCTGTTAGCTGGACAGTCGTCTCCTGTTAGGGGGGACCATGCCATACATGTCCAATCATTTAGTTAGTCAGAGTGCACCTGGACGACGGCGATTTGTTAGTCCATGTGTTCCAGAATTAGGCGTTTTTTCGGCAGTGTGGAGAGATTTGAGACCCTGATTCAGGCCGATCTCAGCGCCAGGTGTGGAACATGAACCTCAAAAAAAGACCACCGGGATCAAGCGGGTCTTATACAAAAAGAGTCTGAGTAGTCGAAGGGTGTTTGGGCCAACATGGAAAACCATGGAAAACCACCTGTTGGTATTCGGCCAAATCGTCTTCACAGTCACTTTTGCTCCACTTCCATGTGAGAAAGACCCATCAGCTTGTATTCAGAGTGGTTCGTGGAAGAATAGCTGTCCGATCAGTGGAGAAGAAAGACCCCTGTCGTGTTCGTCCGAGTGAATCGACCCATCAGCTGTCCGATCCCTGAGAGTCCCATCCTCCTCGCCGTTGCGCTTGCGCCACACCTCCGTAGGAAAGCACCGAAGGCGAGCGAAGCGAGGCTCGCGAGGCGAAGGGAGGTTGAGGAGAACCACACGAGTTCGTGCGGCTGTCGGCCCTGTCGCCTGCGAGTTGGCGCCTTTTGTGGTAAAATAAGGGCAGGAAGCAGTCAAACATGGTATAACCATGGTCTAACAGAACTCAAGTTATAGTACACTGGCGTCGCTGTCGCAAAGACTCCGACCTAAGAATCTACCCTCGGACGAACACATCACATGGAAGTGGACAAATAGATGAAAACGGAAGCTTCCACTTCCATGTGATTGTGATGTGATCGGAGAGTTGCTCAAAACACGGCGTTTTGAGACCCTGGCCCTGCCACACATCGTCCCACGTCCCTCGTCCCACGTCCCCCGTCCCACGTCAGGCGTCCCAAGCCTTAAGCTCGGTCAAGCGGGAGGTCACTGGATCATCCAACTTGAACTTCCGCGCCATGCGCTCCACGTCCTTATCCTCGGTGGAAGCGGATCCAGCGCCGATGGAAGCGCCGGAGATTTCGGTTCAGTGACCGTCAATTGGACCCGGAAAACCTGGGGTAGTTATGGGATAGTCTATAGGGTCTGTTGGGCAGCTCTGAGTTCGGTGGGAAGCACTTGATTTTGGGAGGGCATGTGTTGTGGCGGACGTGGCGGCGGGGCGAGGGCAAAGGAAGCGATGCTTGGAGTGGCTGTGGAGGTGAACATTCCGAGGTATGTGATGTTTCATCAGATGTTTTCAGGACTATGGCACACTTTTATATGATTGGCTTTCTGTGTGCTTGGAGCTGTGCAGTGCGACTAGTTCCTCGCGAACTCCTTCATGTCATCCCATCATTGTTGTGTACGGGGTTTGCTATCGTCTTCCACGGTGAGTACAACATGGGAGTCTGAGCAAGTCAAGGAGTGAAGATGCCACTCCCTCGTCCACACTCTGCTTAGGCCGATGCGCCGATCGGCTCTGGACATTACGTCCAGAACGCGTCTGGGTGGAGGACCTGCAAGGGGAATTGGACGGAGGAAGCCATGCCCACGGATCCTCATGATGGATTACACAAATAACACATACAACATCACACACCATATTGTAAAAAAAAATTGAGTACATAAATATGATTGAATATAGGATCAATATCATATAATATCCAACAGGGACTGGCGTGCACACTTCTGGCCACACTAGTGCCAAATGAGAAGCCACGGTCGTGCCATCTGACTTCACCAACTGCCCACATTTCAGATGAGCACATGAGAGTCTGACTCCCGAGCTGGAACATGCTGGAACCCCCTGGATTTCAAGCAGGGAAGTGAACCAAGCGTTCCACCGATTCAATGGATTTAACAACAAAAATCCTTCCATAGAGGGTGACCTCTACGGTGATCCAGCTGTTCTTCCTGAGTACAAGTAGGCTTCCGCTCCACCTCTTCGGCCAAGTCACAGGCTTGATCTTCCCCACGAACTGGCCACACTCCATCTTTCCAATCCTCAAAACGCCGTAACGCAGTCCACGAGGACATCGGGCCGTCGCCACTTCGATCAGTGGACCCATGTCGGATCACATGGAGGCTTCCATGCCAGCATCTCCCTGGGACTGGAATGTATGTGATATATATGCAACGAGTGTATCATGTATGTCTTGGAAAGAGCATCAAAGGTGGATCTCAGCACCATATATATATATATATATGCTTACATTGACTCCCGAAACCACCCCACATGTGGGTAGATAGACCATGTACATGGATGGTCTGGGATGGGGATCAACGTGGATCCAGCTCGGACTCCCAGGAACCGGCCCAAATGGCTGGAACGTGTGAAGGTGAACCTACCCGGACCCTCCTATACAAGGGGTGTCAGCCGTTATATAAGGGGTGTCCATGTCTACCACCCCTTGAAGGCCCGAACTTACGTTTCCAGCTGTTTCTGGTGTCCGTGGGGCGTCCCCCAAAGACCGTCATATCGCCTTTGCACGTGGGGCACCCTCTGTGAAAACTTGTTTGTTGTCTTTGTAACGCTTATGCACATGGTTCTGGTTCAGATCCCTGACGTGGTGGTGGTGATTGTCTTTGTCACGGATCTGTCAAAACTTGTTTGTCCTGGTTCACTGGCGAAGGATGCAAACACGTCTGGTCTGCCATTCGTCCGAGTCGAACTTTCTGCTCCATCGAGCGACTGAACGGTCAGCAGCCCGGTGGGGCTTCGAGCCTTCTCCAGAACTTCGTAGAGCTTCTCGAGGTCCTGTCCCTTAGTCTCCTGGGCAACACAAAAACAAATGCAACAAATGCGGAGCTTGGGAAGTGTCCATCAGCCTTGGGAAGTCTCCACTATATGCAATGTAATGTGCTAGCTGCTTTGACTTTAAGAAGATTGCCATAAGAGTTTTTCCGGCCTGTATATCGATGCCTCAACTGCCAAAAGCGGGGAAGAAATTACCTCAACCCAATCCCACAGTGCAGCGAGAGGGATGCAATTTGGGGTGGAATACTGGGTCTATGGTACATAGAGCACGCTCTGGACCCCCAATACATGCACGTAAGAAATAAAGTTTAAATAATGTGTGTATATATCTATATTATATATATTTGTATATATACATGCATAATCATGCATATATACACTAACAACTGCGCACACTACAGGATTTACAATGACAGCCCCCTCAACATGGTCCTAGCAATGGTACATTCTACTTGGCTGAGTGTTTAAGCTGGAAGCTGTCTCGGGTCTACAGGGGCCATCAGATGTCATCCCGTTGATGAATGACACCCCAAGCCCAAGCAGGGTCCCAAAGAAGGCTGATGCTAGCCGAAGTCAACTTCTCATGCAACAGTCTTCAAAAGGATTCAAAAGGTGCATTCTTGCGCCAAGAATCTTGTCTCTTCCTCAGCCAAGGAGTGGGAGTGAAGATGAGTGAAGTATGGCGGAAGAGTACATGCAAGCAAAGTCCCAATTCTGATTCATGGTCGTTCGTGTCAACTCTGCTACCACCTTCTGCCTCCAGTGGCTTCAAGTGTCATATCTAGGATCCTGCACAGATACAACTGCTCAGTCCTTCAGTCATTTGATGTCATGTTTGTTCGCCATAGAAGGGTAGGTGGAATAGGTGGAAAAAATAGACTCTGCTCAGTCCACTCAAAGGATTCTGCTTCCCTCAAGGATCTGACCCACCTTCAGTCCGCCTCTGGCCGAGTCTTCGGTGACCCAACTTCCGCCCAGGAGAACACTCTCCAACCAGCCCAGCCAGCAATGCATCTCAATCATCTCACCTCGTGCATCTCTCATCATCCCAACGCCTGAAAATGCGAAGTAAACCAAAGAGGGAAAGCCCACTCCACCACCACTCCATCATCCCATCTCGGACGCGGAACTTCATGGCCTCGTTCAAGCGGACCACCCAACGCTCCTCGATGTTGAAGTAATCCCCCAGCTCCCTGATGTCAGGATCGATCTCATCATCATCATCCTGGAGACCGTGCGGTGACCGCGACGTGGTTGGTACAACAGTGGCACCCTCTCTGCTCGAACAAATCATAGGGCCTTTAATTCTCTTGAATGCTCGGCAAAGACTCCCCAACAATTATATAGATATATAATCCTTCAGGTACTTACCAATCACAACCTACATTTGGTTCTTACCCTCATCCAGGATTTGATGGCTTGCAGCAGGATAACAACTAAATAAACCAAGCCAAGCATCACCAGAATCCAACAACTCATTCATTCGCTCCAATATTCCAACCCTCACATGGGTGGTGTAATTGCTAGGAGACCTCCCAGTTCGACCCCAGGGATGGGCCAGGGGGGTTCCGTAAAAAACGATCACACTTCTCCTCACCCCCAAAAGGTACACGACCAAACTGGGCCACTCCGGACACACCTTCTCGGCAACTTTGGGCTCCGGCGCTGGGGCTGCGGCAGCTCCCATGCCACCCATGCCTCGGAGGGCGTTCGGCGCTGCGCGGTGCGTTCGGCGGTGCGTGGCGCGGCGCGACCCGCGGGGACTCCGGATCCGCGCATCTGGGAGTCTCACCCCATGGCGAAGGTGTCCACACCTGGTGAACCGAAGGTACTCCAGCCGTTGAGTGGGGTGGGACACCCAATGCCCAACAAAGATGTGGGGGGTCGGTGATCCACATACTTCCTGGGTGGGACCAAGGGTTGGAATCCACTAGTCCACGGGGACGTCTCTGTGGAGCGGGAGTTTCGTTCTCCTTGCCAGCACGTCCGGGGCCACAGCCAAGTTCCTGAAGTCTGCACCCAAAGGACTCTCCTTTCCCAAACACTTGGCAAAAGGAAGTCCTCATCTTCCCTCCACGCACCAATTGCTTTGGCATGCGAAATCGCTTATATAACCAGAACTGGCACCTGGCACATGAGCTTTGCACCTGGCACTCAGCTGCACCGGTCCGACGGGATTCCCTCCGGTTGGCCCAGTGGCCCATCATGGCCATTGGATTCATCTGCTTGTCTCCACCGCCCTTCGCCATCATTTGCTGCCTCGGCTGGTTCAACATCTCTCTGAGATCTTCACAGGAAGCTGCCCTCCAAGCAGATTCTTTGACAGGTTTGTATTGGTGTATTCGTTTAGTATTCGATCACCTTTTCTTTAGTCTTTTGGCAGCTTACATGTCATCTTAGTCTTGGATTGCTCGTTTTGAAGCCAAACAAGAACATACAAGAACCCTCTATCAATGGATTGGTTCAAGTAAACATCTATATACAGTTTTCTACAGGAAACCAGGGTTTTCACCACCACCTCCCGTGACTGGCCGAACGGCCCCAATTGATCCGAACATCGTCCACGGGCCCCAAAGCATTACAAAGCAATGTAGCACCTGGAAGAGGCCTGGCTATCACATGCAGTGGGTCCATTGTCATTGAGAGGTGAGTAGACTGAGAGGTGAGTAGAATGAGAGGCAAGAGCTCCTAAGCAAAAGAAACAAGACTTCTGCTGAATCCGTCGCCGTCATGGGCTTGCGTTGGTCACCTGAAAGGATCAAAATAGGATCAAATTTCAGTGACCACCTGAATGTTCGCTGGACACTGACTTGAAGCAAGCTGCATATTCATCATATTCATCATCATCATGGCCATCATGGGGTTGCCCGCAGGCATGCCAGGTCTCATGCCCATGCCCATCATCCCCTGCCCACCCGGCATCATTCCGCAGCCGCATCCACACCCCCCCGGGCAGCCGCAGCCGCAGCCGCCACACCCACAGGAGCCAGGACATCCGCAGCCACAGCCAGGGCATCCACCACAGCCGGGGCATCCACCACAGCCGGGGCATCCACCACAGCCAGGACATCCCCCACAGCATCCACCACAGCCGCAACCGCAGCCAGGGCAGCCACCAGGGCAACCGCCGGGGCATGATCCGGGACAACCGCCGCAAGCGCCAGGGCAGCAGCATCCACAAGCGGGACCACTAGCGCCACAAGGGACCATTGCCTTAGGTTGAACATGAAGTTGGGTATGGGAGAGCAAGGTCGTTTCTACTGACTCGATTGATGATCCTGAACTCGATGCATCTAGAGACTAGCGACTAGAGTGTATTTCAAACATCATGACAGGTGGTGGATGTTTTCTTGGAGACATCGAAGCGGTCGTGCAGTGCAGGGGGGGGCCTAAACCCTAAACCCAACCCGTTTATCTGTTCAAATTGGAGTTTTCCAGAATTTGTTTTATGAGTCCTCAGAGATGGGAGTATAGCAAGCTGGATCCCTTGTGACACCTACCCGAACTTTCACCCCATGACGTTCTGGTTCAGCTTGGCATAGCCCGCCCTCCTAAAGCTGCCCAGTGGCTCCTCCGCATCCTCCACAGCATCCGGGCGCTCCTCCTCCCGGACCGCCAGCGGCGCTGCCGCTGCCCCCGCTGGGCGCGGTGGCTTCACTCATGGCCGTTCCCCTCGCGAAGCAAAGCGACCGGTGGCACGAGTGTTTCTCCGTGAAGTTCTCGTAGCCCGAAGCCCGATCAGGTTAGACGAGGAATGGACTTTTAGGCACATCATTGGTCTATCTCATAGAAGTACTGAACCAAGTCTATGGTTCCGGTTCCTGTTGGGGATGGTCATCGTCGGCTGCCTCAGGCCTAGGCAAAACCAGGCGGGCAAAGACCCACACCAGAGATTTGGTCAAATTGTCACATGACTTGATTCATTCCCCTGCTATTCGGACCATGGACCCCCAAAACCACGTCGGGTTGTAGAGGGAAATGGTCGAAACCACCGGTTAAGTCTCAGGTTCCATGTTAGTTTGTGGGAGGGTAGCAATCATTTCGGGGTGTTGAGGTGCAGGGGAGCTCACTGAGGTCGGCCGTTCTAAGTGGATCTTGGAGAGGGGTTCCAGGCCTCCAGAATGACGCAAACACTGGCGGATGAAAAACCCAACCCCTGAACATAGAGCCTTTGAAGACAATGTTGTCATTATCATTTGTTACAGTAGTAGAACATGTTAGAACTACAAACCAAGGGTGCTCACGTTCCAAGAGAACCCAAATTATTCCAAATCCTGATCATCCTGTACGTTGAAGGAAGACACCTGCATCAACTTCTTGGCTCCGAGAACTCACGGCTGCAACCAACATGATTGGTCTTTTGTGCCGCCCTTGGAGCAAGCACCACAAATCTCAAGAATCCAAGCTCCCGCCATCTCGCGCCCAACCCACAAACAGCATGAAACAGCATGAAACAACCACCTACACCAACCGAGCAAGCCGGATTTCATGGCACCACCGGCTTGCGCCTTCGTCACAAGGCTGGCGCAGGTCCACGGCCCGGCGCACGTGGGTCCACGCGCTGCGGTTCCACAGTGGAAACCCCCACGGCGTCTACAGAGTTCGGTTTGGCAACCTGAACTCTAAAGTTGTTTTGATGTTTGTTTGTCGATGTTCCTTTGGAACACCTTCATGTGATTTTTCTGATCTCTGAACCCAAAATCGTCTGAGGTGGTTTTGTGGATGGGGAGTCGATGTTGTTCTGACATCCTTTCTTCCCATGCTCCCGGAAAGCCCTGCAAAGCGGCAAAGCAGCGATCTTCGTCAAACCAGGCAACCAGCCAGGACCAAGGGAAAAAGGCCCCTTAAAAGCCCTGGCTAAGTCACTTTGGCACCTCAAACCTGTACGCCAACAGAATGAGTCGAGCGACTCGTGTGCAGTCTGGACTCGTGCGAACTGGTTGAACTGACCCGGAAGCGGGTCTTTGAAGCCCTTCATCTGCCGTCAGTGAGTAGATGGCACAACAGCCCCCGAGTCAGGTGGTTTATATATGGTCTCCCGTCTAAAAAACATGTAGGGGCTTGTGCAATCTACTCTGAAACCGCACCTTCGACCGCTGTTTTCGATCATCTCAATGCACTATATGGCGATCCCCAAAAGCTATAGAAATATGTCCATTACATGTTTAGTGGGTATCTATATACTTGTGTATCTATTTGGGGTCCATAATGGTCTATACCTATAGACCCCAAACACTACTTATTTGTCATGTCTGGAGCGAAACATCGCTTCTCCAGTGGCATTGGCAGTAAAAATCCTTTATCCTGGAAAAAAACTCGTTTTTTTCTCGGAAACGCCTCCCAATGGGAGCTGATTCGTGAAGAATGGCTTGCCATGGCTTATGTCGTTTTTGATGGCTTGCCATGGCTTATGCCGTTTTTGATCTCAGACTTGTTTGGCTCATGGACTATTTTATACCACCAGCATGGGCCGGTGTCAGCCCCAAACCCTCCTGAAATTGAGTCTTCTTGTTGAACATGTCCTTTGAGCAGTGCCCGCGTATGGACCACTTGTAAAGAATGAGGGGGTAGAATAGCAAATCCGTGTTGAGACAGTTGGTTGGTGCCCATGCGAACACAAACCCCAGATTGTGCCCTTTAGCGTGTGATTTGGGTATCAATATCTTGAAAGTAACACTCTCAGAAAAATAGGTCTCCAAACATCTTGTGTTTTCCGCAGGTTGTCGAACGGACTTTAATGACAAAAAGCCCCCCAAACCATCCAAACTTTCAGGTTCCCGTGGGGAACCCGTCTATAAGCGTGGGGAACCCGTCTATACCCGTGGGTCATACTGGAGAAACCGTTTTTTCAACAAAATACGTTTTTCCTAACCCGTGGGGAACCCGCAAAAAAACCGTCGTAACCTGTAGGGAACCCGAAAAAAAATATGGGTTCCGGAGTATGCCATTTGAAGGTGTCCATGAGGAGAATTGATCACTCCCATGTGATGCTGGCAACGTGCCAATTCGGATTGATCTTGAAGCACTGCAGTTTCTAGGCGAAAGAAAAAATGCTTTTTTGTAGACTGCTTTCAGACCACAAACACACAGTTGTTCTTTCTTTCGGCACATGTGTTCATCTGAAACCTGGCATCGCTCCTTCAGAAATCAGAAAGGATCGCAGGACTCTGAAGTAGCTTTGCTTGGTGCCATGTCTAAGATGTCTATAATGACAAGTTCCCGTGTTTGGAGGAAGGTGGGCACAGCAAGATATGAATAGCAAAGTTGAGAGGAATAAAAAGGGGATGATGTGTGCGTTTGCCTGGCCATGTGCTTCAGACAGCATGCCCTCAAAATGCACAAAATCAAGAAAACTGTTTTTCCTCGAGAAACATCGTTTTTTTAGAACATACATTTTTTAAGGTTCTGGGGTCTTATGGTATAATAAGATATAGACGACCAAAGGATGGAACAAAGTCGGGGACCAACCGTGTTCGAAGCGAACTCTGTTTGGAGTGGTCGAGCCGACACTAACCGATGAAACACAAGCTCAAGAAAGACAGACTCCTGGTGAGGTATGTGTGCACCTCTGCATTCACTACTTCCAGTACTACTTCCTACACAACAAATGGAATCAAACATCGATCTCACCATTCCCTCCCAGCTCCGCCCCTCTCCCGGCGGCGGCCGCCCCCTGCGGACCGGGCGGACGAGTCCAACCTCATCGTCTGAGAAGTCCAAGCGGTTGTCCGCCATGGGCAAGAACCGCGACGCGGTTAGTGGTGACAAGTTCTTGGACTTGGGATGCTGGACAGGTGACTACTATATGACTGTGGGTCACAAGAGTCACAAGCAAAGAAGACCAGGGTTGACCTCCCTGGAAGTCAAGCTACATGGTGGACCGGGGCTCCAGAGTGTGGGATGTCTGGACAATGCCAGGTCTTGAACTCTTGAAGCAATATGACTGACAGCTTCAGGGGTGGGATCGAGCATGTTGGCTTGGACTAGTGACTAGAGTGGTCTTGTAAGTTTTGCTACCCATCAGGGCTTCAATGACCCTCTCCGGGGTGTGGACGTCCACACCTCAGGAGCCATAGAAATGGACAGCGCATGATGTCGGGGTCGACAGCCCATCCTCAGTAAGACCGCCCTCAGAACACCCTGCCCCAATCCTAATTATACTATACCTAATGCTTCCTGTCTGGGTGTCCTGTCTGGTGACCAGGAAAGCAGTGGAGGGTTGTCCATTGGTAACCCCTTGGAAGCAGCTGCTGTGTTGCTTTGGCATTTTGTGGGTAAATCAGGCCCTATAGGGTCTTATCAACCAGCACTTGGACAAAATGTTGTGAACAAACGGTCTTGGGATGTCTTGGGTATAACCACATTGAGCGGTGAAACTTCAGATGACCAGGTCTTGACGCCATCGACTGCGACACCCATCGATCACACTGATGGTGCCCAACATATGGATGACCTGAAGTGTGGAGAGTGGAGATGCGTGGGGAATATCCTCTTTCTGCAGGAAGAGCTGCTTCTGTTCTCGTTTTTGACATGAACGCTCCTCGCATCAAGACCACCTTGGTCATCGCGGACTTCATATCGGCCGGACCTTCTGCCCACAGCGCAGCTGTCCGTTCCGGCCAACAAAACACATCCAAACATGGAGAATGGAATATGTATGAATATGATTGAATATGTGTCTTCCCAACGCGTGTGGAAGCCACAAATGTTTTAAAGTAACTCTTCCAGAGCGTCCCATGGGTTGGGAACAAAGCTGCAGCAGTCTCGTTTTCTTCGACAGCCCACGGCAGCCGTGCCGTGTTTGTTCTGACCTGAAGCGGGGCATCGACTCCGATGAAGACCTCGTTTCATTGTGTCCGGTCATGCAAAACCAGTACTCAATGAGGTCAATGACCATGGTTTAGTGATGTTTAATTACTTGGACTGGTAGGGAACAAAAACCTTTCTGAAAGCGAACTTGGAAGCAGAAGATGCTGAAATGATTGTGTCCTCTTTGAACATGTGCGTATACTCTATAGGTGCAAACTATGGCAGAACTTCATGTGTGTGTTCTTCGTTTGCAACGGGAACAGTTCGCATTGCAACGGGTCAGCCATCCAATCGAGGGGAGGACCACAGTTTCTGTGGAAGCGAGAGCTAGGCCGGTCAGGGCCGGTTTCTTTCGTGAAAGCCTATGAATCTATTGCATGAACATCACCTGAAAGGCAAAAACCGAATTGTTGTTCCTTTGAGCCACTCCCTCGAAGGCGACACATCCCTCCCAAAGCGACGGCCTCCTGGCGAATTTTGACAGCTCAACTCCTCCGGAGGGTTGAGTTCGGTCGGCCCAGATTCACACAGTTTGTCAAAGTTTTGGAGAACAGATCTTATCCAAGATTTCTAAGGGACCATGTTCAGGGTCCATATTACTTTGGACAAGAAGTTCTTCTGAGTGGTTCAAGTTAGCCATCCCTTTTCCGACTTAGCCAAAAATCAATGAGGTGACGCGTCTGAGTGGTCTTTGGGGGGTCCTACATCGCACAACAGGAGGGATGTCATGCGTGGAAAATCCAGATCTGCCTCACCCAAACACCTGGCTCTGTTGCCACTTCTTGTTTTGATCACCTCAGCTCTAACTTTGTCTGGCATGTTCTGTCATGCCGAGTGGCCAGGCCAGAAAAAAATGTCCAGATCTTCATGGACAGGAAAAAAGTTGAAGTTGTTAAATAATTTATGCCACTCCTTTTGTTTTCAACATCCTATCTTCATCTGTGCTGTGACATGTCTGCATTGCCCATAGATATGCCTAGCTTGCATCTTGCCTGCAACCTTGCTGAAGAGATCATTTATATAACTACAACGATATCAAGAGGCCTGAGTTGGATTGTAGAGTGGAGTCGGCGGGCAAAATAGTTCGCCCACCCTCTTTTTGGAGCCAAACGCTCCAAACAAATGCTTCGTGCTTCTCTCCGATTTGCTCGACTCCCCTCAGACTTCCCTCCTGAAGAGGGGCTTTGGGTCTCAAGTCTCTGGCGCTTACCACTCTTCAACCAAGGAGTGATCTGTTCGGCAGTAGGGATGCTACATCACTATGCTTTTGTGGATATCACATGTCCCGGCCGAGAAAATCCGATCCAACGAAGCCCGGCCCGCACGGCAAGTAGATCGTATTAAGACGATCAGGCCCCATTTATGCACACCCCGGACGTGAGACGATGCTCCAAAACCATGTTGACAAGAATGGCCCAATATGGTTCAAAGGTTGGGGTACATATGAGTATCCAAACAGCAAGTGGCCAGTTCTAGTAGTTGACGTAAAAAGCAAAGTGAACGCTAATAATTAGACTGCAGGGGAGTTGCGCCAGCCCGCTCAAATTCATTCTGTGTCCCTTATGGGAGCATGGGATCGGCTTCTGCCCTGCACGTCAGGCGGTGGTGACGATGACGCAGCTGGAGCAGTAGTGTCTGGTGCATCATCAGCGCGCTTCAACTTGATGCAATCATCGAGGCCAAGAGTTGTGGCCAGCACCAGGGTAAAGCGCCATGAATACGCAGCCAAAAGGCCGTCAAGCAGCCTCTTTTTCCACCAAGTATGGAGCGCCACTTCATTCACACCGCGGTCGAAGCGAGCTGAATACCTGTCGAGCACCACCTTCTGCTGCCCGACAAGATTGATATCCACTCCCAGCCCTGTCAAGGCATTGATGAAAGAAGCGATGGCTACATACTCATAAAAGGTCCATTCAAACCACGGCCTGGGTGCAACAAAAGCTACCTGGGAGAGTTTTACCAAGACTGCGCCAACACTGGTGAAAGCTCCCACCACGAGGCAAAAGAAAAACCAAGTGATGGATCGTACCAGGAGGATGACATGTTGCCAGGTTTTCATTTTTTTGCCAAGGTCATTCGTAGAGGTTGAGGCCCTCAGAAGGTCACCTTCTCTTGCAACCTGAAGAATGAACTGCCGCCGTTGATTCTGCATTCCCTTCAGTAGGTACATAGGGTTTGCCATCGGCAGAAAGGACAGTGCTGAAAACCTGCCAGCTTTGTACACAAAGGATGTAAAGTTGTGAAGCGAATCAATCCTCCGACCAAAGCCGCACAAAAACGCAAACAAATATACTATTGTGCAAATGCCCAGCACACCTGCCACTGGCACTTCGAACCATGCCAGGCAGTACCTTGACAAGTTCCAAGGTACTTTGGGATCCCTTGGTGGCAGTCTCCAGGCTGAAAGGACAAGTACCCCGACATTTCCAGCAGCTCGAGCCAACACAAGCATAAATTCTAGCTGCCGAAACAGTGAGGGCATTTTCCCGAAGACCTGTTCCAGTTGCTGAATCTGGAATGTCAATTCTCCGGTGTTTGCCTTGTTCATGGCCATGGGTGGCTCTGCTGCAGTTGCCCCGGCGTGACAAGAGAATGAAAGGCATATGAGACCCCAAACAAGAGCACCAGCACCTCCAGAACTTATGTAGTACCTTCCGCGAGCATCCTGGTCCATGGTATAAGGCAAAACGACACCCAAAAGCAGGGCAGACACCAGAAATGACAGTATGCAAGTACTCCCCAATACAATCATGCCAGCTCTTTTCTGTTTCTGAGTCGCCACCTTGTCGGAGTGCAACTCGTTGTCTTCAGGGTCTTCGTGCGCGGCCGCATCCTCATTCTCGTCAGCAACAAAGCATCCACTTTCGACATCCTTCTTCTCTTCGGCCATCATGTATCGACAGCCCTGCTGCTGCACTGCACCTATATATAGGCAACTGCTGCCTGCTGCACTGCCCTCCCAACGCAGTTTGGAGCCGAAACATGTCCAACGAAAATCAATATTGGAAGGCATCCGATCCTGAAATCGTTGCAATCAATGTGGGGGCATTGGTCCTTCGAACGTGGACACAACCCTCGGCATCTACCTCGACCTATATTCAATACCGACGGCGCACGTTGCTTCTCGACAAGAACCGCACAGTTGTTATTGTTCTTGTCGCCGTGCCACACATCAAAAGGCTCTCAGGCAGTTAAATGGGTTCTGTGGTAGAACTGCATTGGTCGTTCCAGATTTCAGAGTAGCTCCATGAATGGAGCAAACACAAGTTCAAGATGAACGGCAACCTGTAGATGATGATGATGATGATGATGATGGTAATAGTTAATTACTATAATATGATTCTATAACATATTGAGGGTGAGCCATCAAAGCATGGCGGATCAGTTTAAGGGACGACTAAGAGATGACTATGGTAGACTCAACAACAGTTAATTCCCAAACCATCATCCCTGTATGGTCGATTTGTTTACATTGGGGTGAAAAGGGGTCAATGTAAGCATATCTTCTAGTCCAATGGATGGTCTGGAATTGTTGACACTTGTTATGTTGCAGTGTTTTCACACAATATTTTTTTGCACCCGCCCACGGGTCACCGCACCTCGTCGCTGCGACCACAGCAGCTAGCGCCTGCGATCACAAAGGTCACCGCATGAACAATGTGGACTGGACGATCTGACTCAACAAAGGGAGCCAGTGCAACCTCATAAAGCATGAAGCTCCTGGCCACTTACAAGCTGCCCAAAGGCACCTCCAAAAGAACAATGTAAACTGTTGATTGATCACACCCCTCCTCTTTGGATTAATCTATCGTTAAAGCATGATAAGTTAACGCATTTCATTTAGGGGGCTTCATCAATTGACAGTCTACATCAAGGCTATTTTGCTCATCCATAGAAAATATGTAAATAATGCGGTACTGCCCTAGAGGTATCACAAGCATCAGTAGGCATGTCTCTCTCACACACACATCGCAAAATGAAGCCCTGCCAACGCAGTCTGTTTTTTTCTCCCTTGCGCTCTAACCAAACACGAAGGATCACGAAGGACATTGCATGAATTCACCACGTTTCGCTCTGCTCCGGGCTGGCGGACGATGCTCCGAATCCAGCTGACTTTGGCCAAAAGCTAAGGGCACAACCCTCCCACACTTGGTGCTCTTTCGGACGACCAAAGTATTGAGCAGAATGTCCCGTTTTTTGGTTGCGCGCGCAGAATGTCTCTACAAACAAACAAATAGTTCATAATAGTTCCCTACACACGTCGTTCTTAAGCACAACGAGTGTCCCGGCTGTGGACGGCGGACGGTGGCTCATGGGGGGTGGGGGGAGACTTCCGTGGTCGCTGCGAGCTCGGACCCGTTGACCCTATAGAATCCGAACTGGCGCTCCATGGCAGGGGTCGGACCCTCCATAGCTGGAGTCAGGGCCCGAACCAAACCCTATATATGTGTTGGTTCGGGCCCGGATTCTTAGGATAAAGCAACATATCCCTGATGATCCATGACCACACATAGGTCACAAATAGAAATGATCCCAGGATTTGCTATACATGTCTATTGATCGTGTTATTTGAAGACGTTGTCGAATCACAGATTGGGGTACCTGAAATGTATATACAATTCCAGTATCATTGTCGGAGGATAAGACCATGAAATCACAAGAACCAACCTGTAGGGTATCGATCGGCGTCGATGGGCTTTTGAAATCGAGCCTTGGTGACATCATGTATGCGTGATCACAGGCTGCGGCCATGTAGAGGTAGGGTGATGGTCATGCTGATCAACCATATTGCATATGTTGTGACCGAATCCATGTGACTTCACATGTGATCACACACGCATGAGGCAAGAAACACACATGATCAAAGACATGTACATTTTACACAGGGGTTCATTCGATCGATCGATGAAGCGCGCCATAGCGCTACATCGTGAGCAACGCCGAAGAGCTGCTCAACAACAAGCACAACCAGCTGCACAACCAGCTGAACGAGTGGTGGCGCCGACTTCGCTCACGGCCCACTGGGGAGGTACCCTCCCCCCCACACTGCGTCCGAGCGTCGTCGATCGTGATTGGGTGGGACAGGATGTGGGTGTGGACAATCCACTGGTGTTGATTGGGGTCGCTTGATGGATTTCAGGGTTCAGGTTCATTAACCACCTGGATAGGAACCATAGGGGTATCGTTTGGCATCGATGGGTAGCTTGGTGTCATCACAAAGCCTGAGGTCACTCCATATAGGTATATAAAATCCTGAGGTCATTTCTAAAAATACTAGGTGGTCATGGATCTATGTGTGGTCTTGGATCGTCAGGGTTAAACATGTAACAGTGAAATCTTTGGATGAGGCCAGCGGTGGAATCTTCGGAGTCGTTGGTGATTGAGCCATGTGCACTGAAATTCTGGGGCCCTGAGGGGCATGAGCACAATGTGGCCCAGAGGCAAAGCATTACAGAATTATCCACCTGTTTGGTTCACCATCAAATGGATTTCATGCATATGGATCCACCAAAGTGCTTCATGACTTTTCTGTTTGAATCCCACCTGGATAAAGTGTCCCACTGTGTTTGCATCTTCCCCTTCGACTGGTATCAAGCACTGTGTGTGCATACTGCAGATTTTGGATTGGAGCAGGCCTTGAAAGGGTGACGCTTAGCTTGACTTCAGTGCAATGGCCACTGCAAAAGATCGAGTGAAGGTTCTGCTGGAGGATTGGTTTTCCATCCAAAATCTTGTGCAGAACTATTGTTTGAAACTTATTATACTTTGGATCGAGGGAAGAACTGAGTTGGTGCCTCTCAACCCTTCCCCACCAGGACCTCTTGAACGAGTTTGTCCTAACAAAGCTGGAGTGTTTGCGGCGCTCGGTGGACCATGCTCTTTTTGAGAAGCCAGAGACAGGTCCCGCGTCGGTCGAGATGGTGTCTGATCTCATGAGTTCTGGTCTGGTTTTGTTAGTTTTTCATTTTGGTGACATCCTGAGGTCATATATATTTTTTCTATGTGTGGTCATGGTTTGTCAGTAACTAGAAACTTCCTTGCAATTGGGAACAGTTTCACTGAACCTCGTTTCATCTTGACTATAGACGTAGGTGAGGGTCCTGATCTCAAGAACCTATAGGTTGAGATGCATTGGGAGTTCATCCTCAACTACATGGCTACGCTGGATCTGTACATTCCGGGGGTGAAGATGCACCAGGTTTGGTGTTAATTTCAAAGTGTGTAGCTGTTTTTGATCATGATGATGTTGAAGTTTTTTGATTCATGCAACCTTTGGCCCTCTCCCCCTCAGCAGCTCCCCTGTGCCAGGAGGTTCTGGTGACCTTGGCGAAACGGTATGCTTTGCTGGGTGTCAATGTGAAGGGCCGCGACATTAAGGATTGGGTGAGAAAGCAAAATGTTCTTATTGTGTTTATCTGGGAAAGCGTGTCCAAGTAATGAAGCCCCCCAGCCATATAGATCTAGACTTCAGGAGTGGTCTGGGCGTGAAGCTGGCGCCGTACGGGCTATGCTGGTGCATTCGCTGCTGTTGTGCCGGCGGTCCACTTCATCAAGGTCACCCAAGGTCAGCTTCCTCAAGACCTTCATCTTGGATTTGAAGCGCAAGTCAGGATTGGGTTCAAGAAATATATAGTCAGTATTTGGTGTGAGGGAAGGTTTAATTTCATGCCTCTGGGGAAAGTATATTGAAGTTCAGTCACAAACATCTTCCCGGAGGTGCTGGTGACCCGGAGTCACAGGTGGGTGCAGCATTTGATGCTGCACTTGGTGGGGCCGATGAATCATCGGTGGCTACTCCCTCTTCGACCTGTTCACCAGCACCGCCATTGGAGAGGGGCAATGGCACTATGAAGACCAAGGCTCTAGGTTCCAAAAAAGGGCTTGCAATATGACCATTTGTCATGTTTGATTTCTTGGAGGGACACTAATCCTACGAGGTTGGAAAGCTAATCTCTACATGAGTGTGTCATGCATATATTTTTATATATATATATATATCACGGAGCCCAATCCCACTGGAGTTGCTGACCCATAACCACAGGACTCCTGAGCTTTAAGGTGTCATGCGCTATCCCTGGCCTGTTCTCCACCCAGGGCGACGGTCGGGACCGACCCCAGATGGTTCCGTCTTTGTGTCTGAATGCAATGCCTGTGAATAGAGTACTTAAATAATATATATATGTCTGTAGCTAGCTATACTTTTGTGCAGATTTTTCTTTTCTGAAACCCTGCAGATCTCCCCTGACGACATGGAGACCCAGATTGAGGCCCAGGTGCAGAACATTCTCGAGGGTGCAGCTTCAGAAGTTCCTCCTGTGGCGGGGCATGCCATGCATGCAGATGGTGCACGGCGTCAAGCTGAGAAGGACGTCCGACTCAAATTGAATCGAAATGATCATGCATTGTCAAGGAATAGCTTAATATATAGTTCAACTTTTGTGTTCGAGTAGGGTTTTGTTTTTTTGGTAGTTCTTGATCAAATGATGGGTGGGATAAGTGATTTGTAAGTCCATGAAGTAAAACCCATCAAGAAGGCCAGTTGTCAATATTGCTTCAGTTCTACTGACACCTGGGATGGGTGGGGGGGTGGGGCTGGATAATTTGATTACCTCTTTGCCCTTTGTCCTGCTGCTACTGCTCGTGCATGGACAGCATAGTTCCTTAACATGTGCTGTGTGGTATAGGACCGGGATCCATTGGAGGTGGAACCACCAGTGCAGAGTGCAGCTGTCGATGCACTTGCAGCAGAGCTCTTTGTGGAAAAATGTGGTTCACATGTGGAGGCGCCAGATGATCTACATAAGGCGCAGCTGGCAACGACCAAGGCTGCTAAGGTTCAAACGGCCGAGGACATGGGTGGAGGTGTAGATCCAACAGACCCTTTTTCTTCACCAGTAGGTGCGTCTAGACAATCACAACCACTAGGAGGCTGTTCCAAACCAAAATGACCATGAATAAACATGTACATAACAGAAATCTATATAGTTATGTGCATCCCAGTTCAGAATGCAATGGGCATACATGTTGAACATTGTGGATTTGTCTAGCTTCAACAGGTTCAATAATATTAGAAACCGGCAAACTATATGTTTTCCCTGCTGAGGATCTCTTGAAGAAGGCCAATGCAGATCCCAAGGTGGCCAAGACTATCCAAAAGAAGCCCGGACGTGGTCGGGGACGTGGTCGGGGGCGAGGCCGCGGAGCATCCGAACCGGCTGACCCAAACGGTGGCGAAGCGTCCGAACCGGCTGACCAGGGAGCTGGTTGCAGGGATGAACCAAGTGCTCCATCCAATGCTCCCACGCTTTCTCATGATGATCCTGCTCCGACTACTGGTGCTGCAACTGGGAAGGGTCCAGACCCTGAGCTGGTTGCAATGTGGAATGCCAAGGATTGATTGTAGATTGTTGCTGCATGACTCGACCTAAACTGTATGAAGGTACCAGTGCTTAATATGCATAGGATGCAACATCTCAGTCCCAATTTGTTCTTGATTGTTAAAATCGATCGGTCGTCATGGAAGTGCATTCGATGCCCACCATATTATATAGATAAAGCGGCTGAGCGCCCTCATCCTGGAGGAGATCGATCTTCGCGAAAGTGGCGTGCCTGTGCCAGATGGGGCTGGCGCCAACAAGAAATCCTTTACCGTGAAGCCGACCAGTGGAGCCAAAGAGGGGGCCAGCACAATTGGAATTCTGTAGCTTGTACATGAAATCATGAGTTCTTTTTGTTTTCTTTATGCATAGTCATGGGTGGTAATTTTCCACTTTGGGTTTACTTGTAACAAGTGTCCTGGGGATATGTTTTTTAGGTTTTAAAAGCGGTCTTCAGGTCACTTGTCGATACTGATAAATTCGCCCAGCTCTAAGTGGCAATGTCCCTCTTGGGTTGGCCAAGGACGGGGCCATGATGCAAGAAATGCGGGCCCCAAATCGGTGTTCATCTGGGCCCCGTCCTTGGCCAACCCAAGAGGAAAATGGCCAGCTCTAAGGCTGAAACCAAGCGGAAAATTGCCAGTCATGGGTCGTTGGGTGCAGTGTTGATGTTGATTTTCTTTGAATTTGGAAATCCCGAAGATTCTATTTTTTTTGTCAGGGGATGTATTGTGGTCAACTGTAATGAATTTATCTCCGATCCGTTTGAGGTGGACCTTGGATCAAATCTATGTCACAAAGGTGCTGGTCCCACCCTGCTGCTCCGGATGGGTGTGTTCCCAACAAGAAGAATGGCCTGACTATCTCAGTACGTAAGCGTGGAGGATGGCTTCCGGCATATGTTTTAGCTCAGCGCACTGCTGGGTGGATTGAGTAGGTTGAGATCGAAGTAGAAACCCATTCAGATAGGATCAGCCATTCCCAACCATTTGGGGTGTGCATAGGAAAACCAAACCAATCCAGCAATATGTTTAGCTATAGCTAATTTGCATGTTTAGAGTTTTTAAATATTCAACAGATCGAACATTTAAAAGGGACTGGCTGAAAAGCTGGATGGGTTACTGGTGAATTGCAAAAAAAGATGAGCGTCAACCCCGACACTGGGATGTTGATAGTCAGATCGGCTGTACTTGCTAGTCTTTTGCATCATTGCACTGACATGTGTCACAGTGTTGTAGAGAATCCTGATGTTCCATAATGATGTGGAGAAACTTTAGGGCATGGTGGCCAATATTGTACTGGTGGCTCTGCAAACATGATCTCATGATACGGAATGTTGTTCATGGTTCTGTACTTCATGCATGGGGTTCAAGCTGACAGCGCTGTTCTCCAGGGCCCATCCCTACCAAAGACCTGTGGTCCCAAAGTGGGCAATGGCTTTCGATTTGACAAAGCGAAAAGCTTCCCTTCTGATGTTCTATGGTGCACCAATACTTCTGCTACCAGTCTAAATTTAAAACATATTGTTGAATTTATTTTCTGTATATTTAGTATTGTTGAAGGATTTGAGATTCATACCGCCAGTACCCGTCTACACCTGAGGCTGCACTGCTGGGACTATGTTTCCCAATCGATGACTGCAGCAAATGCACAGTGGTCCCGGGACAGGGTTTTGGTTGATGGTTCATGGCCCACACAATCTAAATTTTGTCAGGGATGGTTTTGGAAACGCTGACCTCAAAAGGACGCTGAAGAAACAATCCCTGAATCCTGCACGTGTGGCTCCCTCTAGGACCTTGATCTCTTCGAGCACTTTTCTGGTTGTGGGGAATTGGCCAACCAGTGCAGTCGCTTGGGTATCCAATGCTGTAAGATCTACTGCTTTTATTGTGAAATGACATGTTTTTTAATTAAGTATGGGAATGCAAATCATGATCCAGTGCACCAACATGAGCCAACAAACCCTAAAAGACAATCTTTGAACGCAACCTTTCTTATGTCTAAAAAGCTTCTAAACATGTTAAAAAAGGTCGCGCCCAAAATTGCCTTTTAGGGTCTGTTGGCATTTCTTGACATTCAGGGTTGATGCCCATTCCCAACATCCGAGGAAAAGCCGGCTTTGACGTCCGAACATCCGACCTGACAAAAGGGCCTCTGCACGACCTCACCACAAGTGAGGGGTTCTTGCTCGCATTAAAGCAGGTGTTGCGGGTTCGCTATGATGGCCTGTACTGGCTAGGGGTGCCCTGCAATAGGTGGCTTGGGTGTACTATAAGTACGTGTTGATGTTCATATTTGTGTAGTAAGCTAGTTGTTCAAAAGTGGGGAAGAGTTCCTATTGATACCGATGTGATTGCATAAACTAAGTTGGGTGTGGATCGCCTCATCGACGACCAAGAGACATTCATCAGAGTTTGGCATATTGGGTGATGATCGAATCCCCAGTGTATCCATGGGCAACTGCATCTCAGCAAGGTGTGCTTTGTTGATTATGGTGGCCATCGTCCGGGGGATCTATTGGTGTGCTACTGGTTGTTAACATTATAATAAAGATTTTTCTTTGCACAATTTGGTTATCCATTATAGGTTATTTATTTCAGTCGTGTTCTTAATTATATATATATTTTCTATATTTAGCGGCTGCAGTGAGGCTGAACAACCGGGATCTAGCGCGCTGAAGGATTCACCTTACATCAGCCATGTGTTGACGAGCATGGGGCCTCACTACCTCAAGAGGATGTCCATGGGTGCATATGGCCATTGGTGCATTAAACCGAGCCAACTATTTGGTTCATGGCTGCTTGTTCTTGAGCACACTCTGTTGTGTGTAGTGTAGTATTTTTTAAAGTGTTTTTTCGGATGTATGTGTGCAGGTGTAAAATCTAGATCTTGCAAAGATGTTATAGGCTTTAGATCTAGATTATCTGAGGCCGAATGTGGAGACCTTTACAGCAAAAGTGTCCAAAGATCTACGGGAGCACCTATCTAAAGCTTCAAAGGGCATGTACAAGAAGGAGGTTCTTCCTGATGGCCGTGTGAGAGTCACTGGGGGGCCACGTCTCAAATCTTCTGGTGCATATGCTCCTGGGTTTGGAAAGCATGTTGCCAAACTTCTGAAGAGAAGATCTGTATCCCAGCTCATTATTGTGGTTTATATCTATTTGTGCTGGGGGAGATTCTATATCGGGTATTGTGTGCCATACTGTATGATTATCGGGCTAAGGTAACTGCACAGAAGTGGTACAATGCTCGGCATGCAGTGCTTCAGAAGTATGGCCGTTTTGAATCTTGGCGTTTATCGAATATTTATCGAATATTGAATCTTGGCCGTTTCATTTCCACAGTAAAGGGCTAGCCTGCAGAAACTTCAACTGAACTTGTGTTCATCTGAGCTTCTAATATATAATTGTATTAAGTGTCTGTGTGACAAATTGTGAAAGTGCTTCTGTTGTTCTAGTGGGCTTCAATGCGGGTTGTGGAAATTATGTTTCTGGGGTAGAATGTGTTTGTGTTTTGCTAGCATATAGGGGATCCATCTTCACATGTGCATTTCATCTCTGGTCTCTCTGGACCTTCATTCATGGCAATCGAACAGGACTTTGATCTCGCTTGGTTGGTTCAATCCGAGTGCCATGCTCAATGGCAGTTTGAGGTCAAGTGTGAAGTGCTTGCACTGGTTCAGGTGCGCGTCAAACTCGCACCAGTGATGTGCAGCATCAACACAGTCTGCAGGTAAGGCGTGTAGCTCTTCCGAAGGCGGGCCATTTCAGATCGTCGATCTGACTGGAAGTTCCAGGTGCCTCCTGCATACCCGTCATGATCTGGATGAAGGAAACTATGCAGCCTTTCTCAGGGCCACAGGAGCATTTGCGACCAGCAGCTGTATTGCTGTGTCTCCGTCTCGGCCACAGTCCTTCCCTTCTGCTTGTCTTGTGAGTCTGGAGGTCGGCCTGGCAAGTTTGATGCTGCTCCCTTTGTCATTGCAGTCCTTGCTCACCTTTTTTGTTCATGTCTTGCTCACCTTTTCTTCACATCTTGCTCACCTACTCTTCACTTCACTAGGGGTCTGGGATAAGTCGACAAGTACTAGTGATAAGTCTTTCCAACCATGTCAGTAAAATAGAGAACAGGACAAGACTACATTAATAATGTAGGTGTTTTTAAAGCCGGGTAGTTAACGTGGATGTTCCTCAACCCGCACCTAAGGAGATGCCTTTGCTGTGGAAGCATGCTGATCTGCCTGCATTGGAGGCCTTCTTAAAGGAGGAGCAATTGAGGGGTCGATTCAATCCGGATCCCTCGTTGCCTTTTTGAGGCAGTTCATTAATTCATCTGGTGAAAGATCACGTATCCAAATTGGTTCACAAAAAACCGATCGAGAAATTACTAGTTTTGCAAGTTCAGCTGGTGCATTTGAACATTGCATTTTTCCAGCTGGATAGCAAGCTGTTTGTCCGAGAAGAAATCTATCAGGCACTTTTGTGCTGGAGCTGCTTGGGTGGGTTGGGCTGTCCTTACAGGGGACACAAATCCGTTTGGGCACATGGGCGGTGCCGGTATGCATATTTGTTTAAAAGCCAATAATGTTTGTTCATGTAAAGCTCATTGTGTGTGTTGTCTTTTTTCTAGGTGGCGACAATATATATGCATATATATGGAAACGCATCACAGATTCTTGAATTAGTGATGTGTTCAACTAAGAACCATGTGGAAACCAGTGAGATTGTATCCAAACAGGAGGGCTGAAGTCCAATATAGCCACTGGATGCTCGGATCGTGAGTCGGAACCACTTTGAGTCTGTCTAAACCATCTGGATGGTATCAGCACCAGGGATTTGAAGTGAATATAGCTATCGTATAAGCTTTAAGATCTAGTAAAACCACTCCCTCGAAGAACATTGTGGATTGGGTGGGTATCCGTGACAAAGGTGAGGAACAGGTACCAGGGCGTGACGAACCGTGACAGACCGTGACAGAGCGTGATTTATCTATTTTTTCCAATTAAAAATGAGGTCGTTGTCGGACTCCAGCGTGACAACCCGTGACGGACCGTGATTGGGGTCTGGGTGGGCCCTTTGGGAACCTGGTTCGATCGTTGGGTACAGGACCCGCTCAGGACCCGTGACCTATCGAGAAAAACACACGCCGGAAGCCTGTTTCCGTGCCCAAGCAAGCCACACATCCAGTCGCTCGCGTGACCCGCTGATGTCATCCTCGGATCACCGTACGTTTGTGAAGGCGTGGGAGCAAAAAAACAGTATAGCTAAACAAATCAACCTTATTGACATACAATGTGGTGAACAATATGGTGAGTTATCAGGGGAAATTTCGTTCACATCGATATTTTTTTTGGATAAGCTATATTCCCTGGAAGGCGGCTCAGTTGGCCCTTGAAGCTGCTGAGAGACGCAAGAAGGTTGCAGCGCAGGTGACAGGGGCTGGGTTGGATAAGCGGTCTAGGCCAACTCCAACTAAGTCCACCAAAGTGACACCAGAATCCAAGAAACTAGGCTTTGATTTCATTTTGTAATTCTTTTATTTTTATGTTTATGAATTTCACTTGGGGCCGGACATGCCTACATGACTAAAACCAAGGAGGCCACTGGTGGAATCTTCAGATTCATTAGATCCGCGTGCGCTGAACTTCGATGATGTGGATGATGATGCCACTGCTGGTGTTGAACCTGGTTGGTTGCTTAAGTATATTGTGCCATTATTTTGATTTATTTTGCCAAAGCTATATATATATATCAATTATATAGATTTCTATTCACAGGCGCACAATCATTAGTTTATCCTGGCTGCATTACCAGCTGTGATCGTATTTTTGTATGATCAGGATCTTGCTGTGGTGCCCCATGGTGTGGTGAAGTCGCAGGCTACACCGCAAACCAAACGTCTTGTTCTGCCACCAGTGCCGGTACCACAGGTGATTCCAGCGGAGATTCAAGAAGAACTTGATGACCAGCAAACACTGGATGAGGCACTTTTGAGAAGCCAGCAGACGATGGAGTATTCATCAACACTAATGGTTGATGACAGCCAGCCAGTCGCCATGCCAATGGAACCGCCATTGGTTGAGGACAGCCAGCAAGCCACCATGCCCATGGAATCCCCCAGTGATGTCTGCCAACAGCCAGGCACCAGGCCAAGTCCAGCCGCCATGCCGATGGCACCTGTGGTAGAGGCCACCCAGCTGGATCCAAGTCCAGCTGCCATGCCGATGGCACCTGTCGTTGAGACCAGCCAGTCCGTGATCGTGGTTGAGACCAGCCAGCCTGATCCAAGTCCAGCTGCAATGCCGATGGCACCTGCGGTTGAGACAAGCCAACCGGATCCAAGTCCAGCTGCCATGTCAATGGCACCAGTCGTTGAGAGGGTGGAGCCAATGTTGGTCGATGACAGCCAGCCAGTTGTGACACTACCAGTGGAGAACAGCCAGCAAGAAGAAACACCATGTCCAAACCAGCCAGTGTCACCAATTGTGATCATCGATCCATCACCCAGTGCTGTTCCAACCCCGATGGAGGCATCACCACCGCCACTGGCAATCCAACCATCACCAGTGCATGCTTGCAGCAGCCAGCCTTTCCAGACAAGCCCAATGCCAAAGGCCAAGGCAAAAGCTCCGCCAGTGGCACTTGCAGATGACAAAGTCACCTTTGCTCCTGTCACTGCTGATGCGGCCAAAGCCTTTTGGTCGGCGATTCGGAGGAAGAGCACTGATGAGTTCTCGATGCTATCAAGCCCAACACCATCGTATGTGCCCTCTCCAGCACCAGTCTCTGCTGGCCCAAAGAGTGTAGCACCACCACCTGTGGAACCAACAGGATCCGAGGCTGCTACAGCCCATGCACCAGCATCAGCAAGCCCTGCAGCCCCCCCGCCACCAACGGCAGCAGCAGTGGAAGCAAGCCCGCAGCTACCAGCATCAGCAAGCCCTGCAGCCACTCCGCCACCAACGGCAGCAGCAGTGGAAGCAAGCCCGCAGCTCATGCCACCTGGGCCGGCACCTATGCCAAAGTCCACACCACCTGTTGCAGCACAGGTGGAGGCAAACCCAGCACCACCCGGTGCAGTGCAGTCGGATGCAGGATCTGCAGAGCCAGGTGTGACAGCACCACTGCAGGCAACAGCACCAGCAGCTGCAGCAGAACCAGCACAGCAAGCAGAGCCATCAGCCGATGACATCCGAGAGGCTAGGGCAGCGTACATGCGGTTCTATCGGAGTGTCAGGTCTGTCAAGGCACCGCCAGAAGTGACTGAGACCCTTAATCTCGACTAGTAGCTTTGGTGATATGTGTGGGGTGCAAATGGTTTTTTTAATGTGTTTTTTCCAAATGCGGTTCTGGCATCACTAGTTCCAAGGAAGTTCATGGAGGCATCCCAGGACCGCACAGGGAGGTCAATGCCTGCTCTGTTCAGCCAATACATTGAGTGCAACGAGGACTGGATGTCATCCGTCTTGGTGATTTGCACGGAGAACACTGAGAGGGAGCAAACCCGGGGCACTTACAAGTGGCTGACTAAGATGGACTCATGGTGAGCTGAAATAGTATGTTTTGTTTTTTAAAATCTGTGCGCGTGTCTTTTGCCAGTGTACTTACCTGGCACAAGCAATGTTCTTTTGAAGGCATTTGATTCTGAGGATTTGATGGTCAAGTATCATCAGAATGCAGCCTTGGTCCAGGAGTTGATCACTGGTAAGCTGGTCTCTGGTGATTGGAAAGACCATCCTGAGTTTCCTGGGCGTGAAGCCACTGGCTTGATGAATTATGGTAAGCCTTGTTTATGCTTTGTTCATTAATTTGTGTTTCTGTTTTGTTCATTTGGATTGATTCAACGATTAGGACATGCGGCTGTATCGTTGCTGGGTGGAGGATGTTGAAGAGACGGAACATATTAGCTCCAGGTCTGCCAGAGTGATTCGGGAGGCTGACGGGCAGCACTCAGGGAATACCGGCGGTTCTCCAGCTGGTGGTGGGGGTGGTGCACCGAGTGGTGGCAATGGCGGCAAGGGCAGGAACAAGGGCAAGAACAAGAACAAGGGCGGGGAGAATGCCCCCGCTGATCCCAAGAGGAAGTCAGCGAAACCCAAGACAGAAGAACAGATGGCGCGAGCTGTAGCTTTAATTTTGCTAATCATATTAATATGGGGATGTCTCAAAATAGGGGTGCCTATATGGGCGCCCCAAATCTGTACATGTTAGTTCAAAAAATAAACGTTCGGGCGCCCCTATTTTGAGACATTCCCATAAATATTTTGTTTTTGTTTCTATATTGGTTCTGTGGACAACTTAGCATGGGTTCCAAATGGGGCGCTATACTGGTATCTGAGGCACTGGTCAAGATCAATGCCAACCTCCTCGAAATCTCGCAGTGGAACTACAAGCTTTCTAATGCCGGTGTTGGGACCTTGATCAGAGATGCCTTTGTGGCCCAAATGGAGGAGGAAGGGAAGTCGCTCCGAGCAGCCAAGGCTGCATTGGAATCGGCCCTGTCGAGCGGCACTGATTTGCTAGTGCATCGCGAGAAGTGCGATCAAATGAATGAATCGTACAAGACTGCATCATTGCAGGTGCGGAAACATGTTGCTGTTCCAAAGTCAAAGGCTTTGGCAAAAGCAAAGGCATAGCCATACAGGCAAAGCCATAAGCTTTGATCTTTCAGCAGTTTTGGCATTGACATGGGCCTGTGTATATCAACATAATCAAGTAATATTTATATATATATATCTGTTAGACTATGTTGGACACCCTTTTTGTATAATTTTGATGATTCTCTATATATGCATATTCGTGTTAGTGGTGACTTTGGAAGACTAAACCAACCTGTATGTCAGTTGCACCGGCTGAAGCGCTGAATCAAGATCTCGATAGAACCTGTGGAGTTCCTCTGTGCACTGGGTGTCTCAAGCGCACTAGCCGTTCAAGCTAGATCGATGTATACACATACTGTTGAAGAGTCGAACAGTGTTGTCAGTGTGCTTGAGTACAGATCATTTTTGATCTAAATACTGAAGTATTAGAGGATTGGGCCGCCGCGGGAATCGATCTGGTCAGCTCGGAAAGGAAATAACATGGTTGGGATTTGGAAGGGATTTGCGTGGAGACATGTTGGAGTACAATCGCTACCATCGATCGATCGTACATGTTGTATCAACAACCATCCACGAGGAGAACCGCTGATGTTTGGGGCAAGCTCTAGAGATCTTGGTAATGCCCATCCCCAACAACATTCGACACACCACAATTACTGACTAGAAGAAAATCAAACTACCCAACCTCTGGGAGGGTATGAAGGTGTGACTCCAGGATTCAGGGTGTCATTGACAGTACACTCTTCTACAATTGTCTGCCCCATGCGCAGGTCAGCACAGCTTCGCTGACTACTTGCTGTGCACTTTGGGCCGTGGTGTCACTCGTCCATTTCTGATTGTCGTGGAAGGGATATCACCAGGTGAGCCTATCAATATATGCCTCAGTTGTGTTTGTGGCTTGAATCCAAAGGAGTGGAATCAAAACTAATATGTACTTCTAGTTGGTTCGCATTTTGATACTTCGACCATCCAAGAGAGGTTCGAGTCCACTAAAACAGCTGGAATCATGTACACAATTGAGATAAAACTGACCATGAAATATATGTTTAACATCAAGATTGATCATGAAGGAGGCTTTGCCCAAACAACCTCGGTCTCCGAAAAAAAGAACATCCGGAAACCCTTCCTGGTTCCTCAAAAAGGCGGTACAATAAGCAAAACCATTATTTGACACTGTTCCTTGACATCTCACCAATGCCTTTCCATTCCAACCCATCCATATAGTGGCCAAAGTGTCCGGGCTGCCAGAGGCAACTTCGTGCGCAGAGCTGCAACGGGCTGCATCAGCCTGTGTGGAAGAGGTGGAGGACGGACGCCGAAACACAAAAAAGATCCTGTGTCACCGACCTGGATGGTTTTACTTTTTGGAAATTGTATTTTGAAACACTACCCAAAAAAATCTCTTCTATGGGGTCTCTGGTCATAAATGGTCAGGTGGGCTTCGGCCTACTGAACCCCATCTAGGCATATGGAGGTCGTGTCAGTACATTAACAAAGAAGCTGGCTTCGCTTGGCGCTCATGGAAAATTTCCCAACAACATCGAACGAGATCTATTTCGCTTGTTGAAGCTGCCAGTGTCGCCATATTTTGTTGAGGTGCCTGTAAAGGAAAATGTCTACAGAGACAAGATCATTTTGCCGCGCATACCACTTTTGTTGCCTCATGAGATGTACCATTTCCTCTACGACGCTTGGACGAGCAAATATATTCGAGCACTTTTCTGATAAGGAAAAGCATGCCAGCTATATAGACGAGGCCTCATTGCATACACGCTAGCTTGATTTTGTGTTATTGTGGTGTAGATGATTTTTATGGGCTCGATCAGATGGGGAGTGACTGCACACATGTTTTGGATATGCTAGCTTTTTCTCGATCAGAGGGGCCTTGCATGCACGCTAGTTTTTGATTTAGCTTTTGGTATTACAGCTAGGGATTGACCACCCTTGCTTCTCCAGAAATTGGGAAAACTACGAGTGGATCAGACGCTAGTTTTTGATCTGCATAATACACTAGCTTTCGGTACTACAGTATAGGGATTGAGCACTCTGGCTTCATCAGGAATCGGGCAAACTACGAGTGGATCGGCAGGAGCTGGCACTTTACTGGCATCATGCCAAGGTTGGCTGGCTGGATGCTGATCATCCTGGGGTTGGGCACAATGTGATTGGCCTTTACGGGGATGATTGTCGCTACAACAAGAGTGGAGAGAAGTTGATCTCCATCACGTGGAATGCAGTGTTGGAAGAGAGCACCAGTGACTTGTCGCTGGTTTTTAAAATCTACATTTGAGCATATAGCTGGGGCGATATTGCATGGACGGAGCTACAGGGCGAGGTGTATAGTGCTTGTGGGAGCGAACTACTGGGGACGAATCATGATGTGTAATATGTGGGGATGAACATCAGATCGAATAGAGTTTGTTGATGCAGTGTCATGTAGCGCTACATCCAGATGTTTTGGTTCTTCGGTTTTGATTTTGAACATTTTATCAGGTCCTTTACATCTTGCTCATCTTCTCTTCACATCTTCTCTTCACATCTTGCTCACCTTTTCTTCACATCTTCTCTTCACATCTTGCTCACCTTTTCTTCACACTTCGACCGCCATCCAGGGACGGAGCTACAGGGCTTCGCTTTCGTCATTTGAGATCTGGGACAATAGTGTAGTTCGCTTCATCCATCAGGATCACCTCTGTCGCTGCAATGATGCATTAGGCCTGTCATGCGGCGGATCGTTGGCCTGCCATGCATGTGGCGGATGCGTTGGTGCCTGTATGAAGCACCCGTAGAACACAGGATGCGCCTTTCGTCGTATCTTGACCATGTTCTTGCATCATGCATGTGTCCTGCCACCACTGTTCTGGTTGGAGTTTGCCTTCAACAAGGACTGTGAGCCTGTGAGAGCAACGCCGATGATCAGCATCAGCAGTTGCAAGGACCCTGAGGTCCCAATCATGTGCATCTCTCCAAATCTAGATATTCTTGAGAACTCTGTCGCCAGACCGGCCATCTCTCAGGTTTGGAGTTGTCACGCTTTCCAATTTGCGTGCTCCGATGTTCTCTGGCAATTCCAGACTACACTCTCAAGCGGATCTATTCTGTCATCGCTTGGAGTCTCCAAGTTTCTCAATCATGGTTATCGGGCTGTTTTTTTTAATAAACTCTTTTTTGTGTGTGGTTCACTAGGTACTTCTAGCGTGAACCATCTAGTGTTCACATCGACACCTAGGCTTTAGCAGCGGGTGTTCATCCACAAGTTGACTTTGAAGGCAAACCACTGCCAGTGATCCATGCAAAGAACCAGGGAAAGCCCATTGCAGGTGTGGAATCGTTCTTCTGGTTTGACAAACCACATGTACATAGTAAACATGGGTTTTGGGTTGATGTGTTGCATGAAAACACGTCTCATCCTCCAAGACCCTTCAACACCCGGCAACACATCGCCATTGCCCATCCTGTTGGTTCCCTCAATGCACCTGCTGGGGCTCTGGTGGGCTCCCCTCAGGTGGCAAAGCATACGTGGTGGAGTACAGAGGGGATCTGAAGTGGCAGCGTGAGGCATTTGGCCTAAAGTGCCACTGGGGGGCGGCAGAGATCTGCCATGTTTGCAATGCCGTGAAGGGGGGGGCTGTACTCAACAGGTACCTCGATGAATTTGATATGTTTTCACATGTTGTGTTTTGATGTTCGAACATAAGTATATAGTACTGGAGTAGGTCTTGTTATGCTTGGTTCCAGCCGATCGGTATGTTGAGGTGGACACGTCTTGGAAGAACGTTTGCAAGAAGGACCACCCCCAATGCAGTGGCCCGATGTTTCAGGCAGGGGTGTTGTCAAACACACTACATGCACATTAATAAGAAACATATGGGAATGCTAAATTGACAAAGGTTGCAACCCCTGCTAGGTATGAGCATCCCCTCTTCACTGTGCCTGGGTTCTCGCCCAAACAGATCCGCTGGTGTACCATGCACCTGGTGAATCTGGGAATCCTTTGTTCTTTCAATGGATCCATAGTGGCTCTACTTTGCTGCAAAGGAAGCTCAGCTACTTAAGTACTTTTTGGTGTGTGTTTCCCAACTGGTCCCAATGTGTTGACCAAAACAATACAACCTAAAGTGGGTGGAGTGGAGTCCCAAGGATTCTTCGGACATGGATCTCTTGATGATTCCCTGCGAATCATGTCTTCCAGATTCCGAGCATGGGCCCGTGTCAACCGGCTTGGGTGGCTCGATATTCTATTTACGATATTTCCCAACAGAGGTTCAGAGACCATCAAAAAACGATATCACTATACATGCACCTCCAGTAGGGGTATATAGTGTTTTGTTGGTCTCTGGACAGCTGTTGGTTCTGCTAGTTCATGAGTTTTAGTACTTAAACTCAAAGATGTGATGGATGCATCTTCTGACCATGCAATCTAAGGCACAGTCAGGGATATATCACGCAGGGCGTGCTTTCTGTTGCAAATGGCTACCCGAGCTTGACTTGCAAAGCTTACAATGGCAGGCTCATGTTGATCTTCTTAGACCGATGTTGTCACACTTGCTTGGAGGACCACCCACGAGATGTCGAACTCGTCAACGCATGCGTGGGAATTCGAGCACTATGTGGGTGGTTCGACATGCTGGAGAGGGCTGGTCGGTATCTGGATTTGAATCAAAGAGCTGGCCTCTATATGGTGGGCCGCAAGTTCGTGGCGACTGTGGAGAGGTTGGCCTTGATTGCTTTGTTGCAAGGGCATCAGAGGTGGAAGCTCCAGCCCAAACTACACTGCTTCGTTCACGTGAATGAAGAGCATGCATGGTGGGGCTTCAACCAGCGCTTCAACCACTGTTATGTGGATGAAGATCACATTGGATTGACAAAGAAACTGGCACAGTGTGTGCACAGGGGCCCCCTGATGGAATTCAGAATTCTGTGCCGATGGCTGTTGCGTTTGGGGTCCTGGAGCCCAAGCGATGAAGGGTGAATAGTGTGTAGCAAAGCTCCACCACATAGTTGAGTTCATGCAGTTATACCACCACAGTATACCATGCCAACAATAAAGATCTCTCCAAACATCTCCAAAATACATAACCAGTCCGCAGGGGCTCACTCCAAACTTGTGCCACCGGCCGGCTGCTTCAAAGCCAAGTGGCGGTTGACCCCAACTGCAGCCGCCAGAGAAGGTGACAATGTTGCGGCGTGGACCGCACGTTGCGATGCGCGCGCGCGCGATCGTCTCGAGCGCCCGATCGCGTCGTCGATCGTGCGTTCGAGCGTCGTGGGTCGTCGTGGATGGGCTGGTTTGGGTTTTGTGGTTTTGGGTTTTGTGGTTTTGTGGTTTTTGGGTTCTGGATGATCTCATTTTTTGAGGTCGGACCTCAAAAAACGAGGTCGGAGAGCCTCAGAAGGCACAACCCCAAATGTTAGCATATAGAGCTAACTTTGGATCCTCAGGGTATGATGACTCTATAGGGCTCCTGTCCCACCATCCGTTTCGTTTCGTTTCGGCTAGTTCGGTGGGTGGGTCGAACCACCGAACCTGTGTCACTCGCCATGGCTCTTCAAAGCCCATGAAACAGCAAATCAGCCGCTAAGAAGGACACATGAGGTGTGCGCAGCGAAACTTCATGTGACACGAATTTCCAGAAGATTCTTAGAGGGGGTTTACCAATCTCCTTCCGATCCACCATCGCTTTGCTCCTAAGGAGCCACCATTCCGCTGCATGGCACTGGCTCGCCATGGCGCCGGGGCCGAAGGTGTGGAGGGCGGGCGAGAAACGACCCACATCCCTCCACCGCCAACGGCGAAGCAAAACAGAACACAGGCAACAAGCAGTGAATGGATGACGCCACGTCCATCTGGGACCAATGGTGGCGCAAGCATGCGCAAGAGAGAGTTGTGGGGGGACGTTTGAAGTTGGCACCTCTTTTCTTGTTTGAACGACTGGTGCCAACTCGCTTTAGGCCAAGTGTCATTGAGCACAGCGAAGACTGCAATCACCACCTCACTTGGTACTGCAGCACTGACAAATGTGTTCACATACTTCCACTTGCCCTGCTACCAAAAAATAGGGTTAAACAGCTCCCTAATTAACCTGCTATTATCAGCAATCCTTCCGTCCTTCGACAGTGTCGAACCAGAAAAAAAAACAGATCACGCGTCTTAATGAATGTCTCCTCGGATTCCTGGGAACGAATCTCTCATGTTACTGCCCAAAACCCGACCGCTCGGCTCTGAGACATGCAAAAGCGATGTACCTCCCGCCTGAAGGGTCTGACAGGTTGCCCTTGCTTCGCTGGGCCGCCCAGCTGGTCCTACATCCCCCAGCCCTTCGATGCTCCTGCTGGGGCTGGGTGTACACCATGCGCTCTGGGCTGGCATGAAGCGTTTGGTCGAGAGGTATTACAAGATATTACAAGTGTTTTGTTGGCGTTAGCATGGCATAACTATTTTTTACATTGACATACACACACATTGCGTATGGTGGATTAAAACATGGCACACAGCTGGCAGCTTGCCCGACTTGCGTCTATCCCTTCGATTCTATCCCGACCAAGGCGCGTAGAAAATCACCAACGCCAATGCCAACATGGACACATCTCGCAGTGGCCGAACCGCATCGTCCCAACTCACACCGCCAGTGATGGCCTTGGACTCACTTGGAGGCAAGATCACTCAGACATACTCAGACCAACCCTTCACTTTGAAGTGCTTCAGTGGAGTTTTGGAGATCAAGTTCATTTGGGATGCCAGTTTCCAGTTCAACAGATTTTGGGCCTATTTGTCCAACGATGTTGTCACCGATTTCCTCTTGTGTGCACCTGGTGTACCACGTTGCATTTCAACGAACCACCGGGTGGACCACCCAGTGGTCGTCGTCACAATGGGCGATCTGCATCACTGCTTAAGGTGGGCTAAAGTGCACCGATAGGGATCATGTGATGTCCCCAAATGAATCAAAACACCTAACTGGTTGGTGGTTTTAACCCCCTTGAAAAAGATTAGTCAGTGGCAGTGAAAAAATGGGAAGCCAGGAAGCCGCTAATTGTTGACTTCCTCAACAGCAACAGCCGATGGTGTGTGTGTCTGTTCTTTTTGAAAGATGTGGCAGTGGATCAAAACAAAAACACCCTGTTTGACAACCCAAAATGATCAGAATAGATTAACCGGGGAAGTCAACCTACCAGGGTTTGGAGCTCCAGGTTAGACCCATGTTGATACTGCATAATTATTGGCAGCTCTCTCACTTTGCGCAGGTCTTTGGGACCACAACCTGTGGAGGAAATACACCACCTTTGTTTCACACGTCCCTTTTCATGGTGGTCTTAGCCGCCTTAGCGCCATGAATTTCCGGCGATCCTCTCGGTGAAGAAACGGTTGCCAAGTTGCCATAAAGAGTGTCAGCATGCCTCGCTTCGGCTCAAGTTGCCATGAGAGGAATCTTCAAGTCTAAATGGTGGTTGGATTTTGCAGTTGTTAAAGCCCAAGAAACACTTGATTTCTGAAACTGCTCCCTTCAGGAGATTAATTACACACAATGGACTGCCTCCATCACCTCTGGAAAACAATATAAACACAAAAATTGGATGACGTATGTATTTCATTAAAAACAAGCCAAGATCCTGCAGTGACTAGTTTAACTAAATGTGTCAAACCATGACCTGCTATAGGTACTGCAGCTGCGGTGTGACAGCCCTGAGGCAGTTCGCGTGAGCTTGATCAGGAACAAACAACTATATAACTATAAAGAACACGCATCTCACTTGAGATCAACGCATGTGCACACAAACAATACCACGATGACGCATTTCCCTACAGGGCTGCTCCTCTACCAAGCCATGAGGACATGCAGCGGGCCAATGGACTGCCCCCTTCCATGTGGGTCTCCCTCTTCAGTCACCTCAGCCAGTCTCCAAGGCAAGGAGCTCTCAGGAACCTCCGACCAATACATCTTCAGAATCGGTTCACCTGCGGAGCAAGTCGGACGGGAAGGGCAGGCCCCGACGAAACATCGGGCCAACATGTGGTCATTCATCGGTAGGAGCTCCTTTGAAGGGATACTATTCACTGACTTCGCCTCTAATATGCTATAATTGATCTACATAGGCATGAATGGGTCTTCATAGATCTTCATGATTGGGAAACATTGAAAAGACTTGAAACCCATTTCTTGAAAACAACATGTAGAAAAATGGAGAAGCATAGTTCATCAAACTGTGCTCACACATCAGCTTGTGACTGCACTCGCCCTGTTCTTCCACACTTCCCATCAGTTTTCGTGTTGTTTCTCATGGTACTTGGTTTGAGTCAACCTCAGCGGAGCCAATCCCCACAGTGGGGAAGACGGCTCCAAGATTGACGCATATTGTGGACGGTGTGAAGAATTGGGCCCTATCTTGTGGAGGATGTAGGTTGACCCGTAGAGTTTTACAACCAACATCTGTTCTCTGCATTTTCTGAGTAACTTCATACACACCATGCCTGAACACTCCTTCATGATCTTTACACAAATATGAGCGTCTGGGACGCTCGTAAACAATCAAAGGCCCGACACAGGCGGCACGACCCCCCCGGTCGGGTGGCACATGTAGGTATGGCATTGGTGTCGCCCGTGGACTCAATCGTGTTGTAGCGACAATGATCGATGACCAACCTGGCAGGGGGAGGTTGACAGGGTTGTGACCTAGAGTGCTGCGGCTGGGGTATCCAAATGATCCGAAAAAAGGGATGGTCCAAAAAATGGTCTGTAGATGTCTTCAAGCCCTGCTGGTGTTATAAGTGACCGAGTGGCTGTGGGTCACCGGGACACCCTGGTTTTTCCCACCAAGAATGAACCAACTACCAGACATGGTCAACCTCCCCTGGTGCGGGGCTCCAGGTCGATCCAGCGTGGCCGGGGCCGATCTCCGGTCCAATAGTGGTGACAGCGAGTGACTTGGGGTCATGGATGGTAACACTGAAGACTAACATGGAACTGGAACCTTCATTGGCTAACTGAGAGGTTGTTTTCAGTAGGGGTTTTCTTCAATCAAGGGAGATCATACATGGATCATACATGGAACTGGAACCTGGCATGGACCAGACTGGAAGAGGATGTTCGTCGACCCGACGTAGTGAACTCAGGTTCGTAGGTATCTTCCAGGGTGTGTTCATAGTCACCGACCGGTTCTGTAAGTGTCACCCAAGGACCGATGATGAATTTTCATTTGGGCTTTCTAGTGGTTGATCGCGCTGTGAAAGTTGAAAACATTCAGTTAAATCCTTTGCAAGAAGCTGCTCAAAATGCTGAATCCAGTTTTGGGGACTGACTATCCTTCAACTCCAACCTCAGGTTGAGCAACAATACGACCAGACACCAATGACCATCCATCATATCATGGTTCTCACATGGTGCCCATATATCTGACGTCTTGAAAAACGTACGTCGGGGGACGCACGAAACCTACACTTAACGCGTTGATACCGCGTTGTGTGCGTTGCTGCCAGGTCTCTGAGTGAGCATCACTCCGAAACTATAGAAAATCAACACCAGCAGTGCCAGCGTCCATAAGAGAGAACCCATCGTGCCTCGAAACCCAGTCCCTGCGACCGAAAGAGAACACATCATCAGCAAAAGGCCGGTCGCACCACTTAGACATGGAGTCCTGCATCAATTAACTGGTCAAACATGAATTGAATGAAACTTGGCACTGGGTGGAACAAACGGCGGACCTGAACAACACAATTTATATACAGGGAATCTGTTCGAAACGAACAACTCCGTGGATGGATGCGCTTGAGCTACAAGAATTGCTGGACTAATTTTTTGTGGGAGGCTCAGTGATCCGGATTCAACAAGACAGTCTACAGTTCAAAGCAAGTGGAACCAAGTCAGCTCAACCACCTCGAATGATGGTCACCTGATGGGGATCCAAACAAGGAACTTGCTGGGACTTGAGCAATCTACTCTGACTGAGACCAGTGTAATCCAACATTTCATGTCTCCAACATGACTCTGTCACACCACCAAACCCACTGCCACATCCTCTCGCCCACTCCACGACCGACCCCAGAGCCGCCAGGATCGATCCACTTCTGCCACATCCCCAAAGTGGATGCCCCATACTCTTCAAAGGTATGTGGTCTTCTGAGAAGATATGTGGACCCATGGGATGAAAATCCATGAAAATCCTCAAAGATCTCGAAGCAATTAAATTGTGTTAATTAATTGTTTTCTCTCTCTCTCTCTCTCTCTCTTCATGCCAACAAAGGTGCTGATGATCGACAAGACCAGCGTTCGCAAGGCGCTCACGTACCCTGACGACGAGAACACATGGAAAACGGACCACGGACGGTCACCGAGGACGCTGACCGGAGAGACCGGGTCCGCTGACCGGTGGGACGCTTCGGTGCCACGGAGGTTGGGTGGTTTGGCTTCGTCCCATCCAGCCGTGGATGGCCGTGGTGATGCGTCCGGGCACCGGATTGCAAGCAACATGGGACTGGTATACCGCAAGATCAGGTGGTAGGCAATATCATCAAATATATCTGTATGACATTCCCAAACACGACTCAGAGGACTGGTCTATTGGCCGATCAGGCCGGTGGTTTTGGGGGGTCCATGTCATATATGCCAAACATGGAGTGTCTGGGATTACTGTAGCAGTTGCTTCGGGTCGGGCGGTCTGCAAACCTGGGTACGGTCCCGTCAGTTTGAGCAAACTCGGCCCTGGTAGCACGTTGAGCACCTTGGCGTTCTAAGAAAATCAATTAATCTTCCATTCTAATAGAGACCTGGTCATCCAACGTGTCTTTTTCCCCAACATGTACGCAACATGCACATATAGATGCACCACATTCAACATAGGACAACAGCATCCCCTCCAAAATGCACTGAAAACGAACACATCCACACTCCACCATCCTCCAATTCGGCTTAACGCCCACTTCACAACGCGCTGGAGCACGCCAAGCCACGGAAGAGCCGCATCACCCGCATGGAGCGCAAGGCGCGCGCCAAGCGTATGGAGCGCACCAGGCGGAGTTGCCCGGTGTTAAGATTCGACGAGATCGCCTCGGGGTGCTCAGGCGTGAGCTTCAGCGCGACAGCAGCGGCCACTGGTGCCACCGGTGTCCGGAGCCGAGCATCGGCAGTTGGCCCGCAGTGCAGTTCGGAGGAAAAGGCCAGAGGGAACAAGGAAGGACCCAAACAATAGGAAAGAAGATATAACATGCGGATTCTGAACGTGGAATGAAGCGCAAGGGGCCGTTGAAACCCTGTGCAACTTGCGGTTCGGCTTCTTTTTGACATCGTTCGAATGGTTTTCTTGAAGTCTCAGTGAGCCTTTGGTGATTTCACCTACCGGTTCTCCTGGGGTGGATTGGGGCTGTTGCCGTCTGGGTGGGACCCAAAGCCCCAATCAACCACACTATGCCATTTGATATAGCAGCACATGAATAAAGTACAGGAATTGGCACATTTAAAAACCTGATGCTCAAAGCAAAAGCCTTATCGATCCAAAAAAACATAAAGTCTTCTGAGGTCTGAGGACTATGACTATAGACTATTAGATTCTTATTTAGATGATAGTATAAACATGTAGAAGGTAGACTATAGATTTGCTAGAGGAACTGCAACAAGTTCTTTTTTCACCAGAAGGAGGTTGAAACCCGTAGAGGAGACACGGATGAACCATTATATAGACATATCATTCGAAGACTGCCATGTACCGTACGTTGCTTGGTAAACCAGCTTTGGCCGCCCCCCGTTCTCCCGGCCCTTGCGAACACCGGTGGGCCGTGGTGACGAAGTCCAAGGCCACGTCCTACGGGCGACCGTGGACGGTCCGAAGGGACTCTCCCGTGGACGGTCAGTCCGATGGCCTGGGATTCATGGTGCTTCAGATTGGGGATGTATTCACATGGGGGGACCATCCCAGATTGACCCTCTGAAATAGTCAAGTAAAACAATTGGTTGGGGATGACCCTATGCAAACACAGAGTAGCCAGGAGGGTGCGATGTGTTCAACAAACAAGCCTTTTTGGTAGGACGATAAATTGTTGTACAGAACGCGCTTTGAGAATAACCATATTATCCCTAGGGCTCCAACCACCTCCTGAGAAGATGGTTAGGGTGAGTTTGGGGGGGGTCTAACCATCTTCTCAGAAGGTGGTTGGAGCCCTTAGGGTATAGCAATTATTCCACCACCATCTTCAGTGCTTGATGGTGATGACAACGAAAAGGTGTTGGCTGTACAGGTGTACAGCCTGTGGATGTTTCAGCCCTTGGCGGCACCCCTTTTTCACCTCAAACGACTTGAGGAAACCACCCGGGTTGATGCCCTGTTGGATGGAATACATGGCACGGACTCTCCCACACGGACCAACATGCTCCGAGAAGCACCAAATGCAGAAGCTTCAACACCTTCAACACCTGTGCACATCCAGAATCGGCCTTCCTGGGCCTTCTCGCCCCCCCAATGAAACCCTTCACCCTGCGCCCGGAGCAGGTGGGGACCTCTCCGACCTCACCCGACGTGACCGAGGAAAAGACCACACGATCGAGCTCGGGTCCACCACGGAGACGATGATGATCAGGAACTCGAAGAAGTTCCAGGTGGCATCCTGGTGCGAGGGGTGGCAGCCCTCTCCACGCTAAGCTAAGGTGGTGGCATGGGGTTGGCATGGCCAACGGGGGCATGACACATGATGAGGCTTTTTGGTGTAATCTGGGTGGGCCAAGGACCTCGAGAAGCTACATATTGATCTAAGCAGCAATTCTAGAAAGGCAATTATGGATAACCCTTTGTTAGTTGATGTTAGTTGAATGGTTTCTGCATGGAGGAAATCGATGGAATGACTGAGAATGACTATGCAATACAGGCCATATATAGCCATATCATAGTCATATTACCCTACAAATCCAGTCGTACCTTCTCAGGTACGGTGATGTGTTCGACACTGTTATGTAGGGGCCAGGAGGGTACAGTCGTACCCAACCTGAGGTTCGGCACGACTGGATCCCTAACGTTATATAGAACCTGATCCATCCGACCCGCTTTGGTCCCGTTCAACGGGCATCCGTCCTCGCCGAACCAAAAGTCCCAGCACCTGAGGTCCAGATGGGAAGGTCCAGGGTGATCAGGGCACCCAGCGTTTGGAGGCGCCATCACGCCTTTTACATGCATTCTATGTGATTGAATTGAACATGATCTTCACAACGCATTGTTGTGTGAATTGTTGTGTGAATTGTTGTGCATTCCAACTTCGAATTGGACCCATGAGTCCCATGGATTCCCATGGTATCATCATCATCGGTCTTTCCCCAAATTCCCAGCTTGAAGATTCGGTCGTTGAGCGCGGTTGGTTGCTCGGCTTGGACCCACGGAAGGCACGGAGGTCAACCTGTCAACCTCAAAAGGTGCATGTGGAACAAGCATGTTGCAGTAAAACCTCACTTGTGGCCAAGTGATCAGAGACCAAGATCCTATTGGTTGAAGCCAATGACGAAACGCCACAAGCCGGAAAAAAAAATCCTGACGAGCATGGACCCAGAAGCCGTGTGGAAGACCATCGTTTTGAGAGTTCATGTGGCCCTTTGCAAGGAAAAAAGGGCCCAACATCAGTGGAACGAACGGTCTGTATAGAGGGGGCATAAGTGCCTTGGTCGGAAGGTGGACACTTCCGCGTTGCAGGCTGGGCACCCCAAAGCCATAAATTTCAAAACGATCTCCAGCACGAAGAACAGCACCTTCGGGCCAAGGAGAGGCAGTGTTCTTTCGCATTTCGTATTAGGGATCTTTCGCATTTCGAACAGTGAACGAAAGACATGGGATAGTGGTCTTATGACACTCTCCCTCTCTCTCTCTAGAAGGCAAGGCCCATTGCCTCTGGCTTCCGAACAAAAATGCCCATCCCTTGGAATCCGACGTCATTCTCACGGAGGTGTGTGACAAGGTGAGAGGATTCCCAAAGCGGATTCCGCCCTGCAGCCCATGCCCTGGATGAAATGATTCGATTGGATGACCTCCAAAGTACAAAGGATTTAAAGAAACATGTCCAAAACAAAAGCCCAACATATTCCAAAATACCTTGGATCCACCCACCCGGACGTTTGGGGAACCAACTGAAGGCCGAGACACGATGACCGTGTTCATGTGGTTAAACCTGGGTCCAGTGATGGGGCAGCTGCTGCGATTGACAATCATGGTCAAACATGCTTCCATAGAGGTGACGGGTGTGTGACCCGGGGCGTGCATAGCACTGGCGCCATGACAAAGACAAAAATTGTTCCGATATAAGCATATTATGTACAAGAATCGGTACATGCAGTTTAAGCATGCATCAAAGGTGTATATATATATATACATATATAGTTTATATTATACATATACATTACATATATACATAATTATACATATAGTCACTGCTTCAGGGCGATGATGCTGATATATTGTATATATGTTTCCTGAAATAATCTGCAAACCTGCAACTGCATGCAACTGCAAGACCCGCGACAACGGAGAGGTCCCACCAAAACTGGCATTGAGAAAATTGAAGACAAATGCTCGCAGACTCGCGGTTGAATCTTTCTGGCTCCTTCATGCAATTGAGATCCTTCTACTACTCAGCTCCTATAGGCACTATAGGGTGCTAACTAATCTAAGTAATCTGGATGCTATTACTTGCCTGCCCAGTGGCCAATCCGGGATATCGAACTGTCCCACCGAAGCGGAATAGTCCACTTCGATTCCCAACAAAATCACCTCGTGACACGGGCGAGCTACGTCGGCGCCATTCCGGGACCTCGTCACCCGGTGGCTCATGGCATCTAGCAGATCAACCACCTGGTCACCACCTGCACACGTAAACGGGTCCCAACATGTCCCTGTCACCCCAATTCCAGCAAAATGGTTACCAGTTCAAGGTGATCCACTTTTTCCTGGGTAGGTTGAAGTCTCCGTGAAAAAACCTCGACCTGTCTTTTCATGGGGGGGAAATCCCCTGACGAGTCCTTTCGTCCACCCTCGGCCTGGCAATGTTGCATTGATGAATCGACCTTCGACCCACCTCCAAAGAAACCCAGATACTGCCTTAAGAATCCGAACAGGCCCGACCGACCGGCCAGACACGACTAATGGGACTGCCATATATGCTTATGCTTACATTGGGGTGGTTTTGGGGAGTCCCATTAGTCGTGTCCTGGGATTGCAGGGGTCGGACCTTCTGCACCGCAAAACGAACAGGGGTCTGGACCCGGTTCCCAAACCGGGCTCGGATTCAAAGCGGCATGGATGTTGTGTTTTGTTGTGACTTGGTTCGGTAGCTGACCAAGCTATATACCAGGGCCCCCGGGGTGTCTAATTATAGCTCCTTAGAGGTTATATAAGGGGTATCCACTAACCACCAGCCCTGGTACCCAATTCAGTATTTAAAAAGGCACCTCCAGCGGCCGCAGATCGACTTGGAGGAGCATATGAGCAGCGGACAAAATTACTTGTGTAGCGCAATACCATTTGACATGATTATCGTTTTTGGTGGGGCCCATATCGTTCTCCAATGTTTCTCCAAATCGCAGTTAGCATAGCATACCAGCACATAGGCTAAAACAAAAAATATACAGTAATATAACTCACAACCTCAGATTAAAGGCATACAGTACTGCACAGGAATGGCACAGCAAATTATTTATGCACTTGGGTTCTTGTGGCACCGGGCTGTGCAAGGATCACAACAAATAAGCGGGGACCTAGTAGCTCGGACCAACACTAGTAATGTGGAGAAGTAGGTCTACGGAGTGCCTGCCATGACATTTAGGTTATCATTCGCTTATCGTTTGGATTATCGTTTGGGAAGTTGTCTGGGATTATCATTGATGAAAAGTTGTGCCCATCGGTTTAGCTCAAATAAACATGCAATGCATTAACATCTGGTAACCACAAACATCTTTGTACCCACTACATCTTAACAATATATTATCGTTTTTGGTGGGGACCATATCGTTTTCCACAGAAACAAAGCCCTCAACATAGGTTTAGGGTCACTCATGCTGTGACTAAATAAGTCAACCAATAATTTTGTCCGTGGCTCATATGGCACGACGTCACGTCGCAATGACCCGCCGAAGTGTTCAGCTCTCTTCTACAAGGCAATGAATCCTAAACCACCCGTCGGACAAGAAGAGTTACCTGCATGATCATGGATGAGTCATGTTCATGCGGTTTTCATGTATGTTCAGCTTCATATGTGTGACTATCCCAATTCCATTCATCTAGTTTGCGATAGAACATGGTCAGAATCGCTCGGCTGGATCGTCCCTGACATGTCTTGGTGATGAGCCCCCCTAAAACACGTGAAAATCAACATCCAGACCTGAAATGATTGTTGTCACGTCCTTGCGTGAAAATTCATGCTGAGTCCATCACCGCCCTCCTATGTCAGAGGTCTTCTGAAGACTTCTGGAGACTTGTTTTTGATGATGGTTTCCGGGCCCTGGAGTCCTTGGATTTGCAACTCCCAGGAGTCCCGGAGGGAGAACAAAAACAACAGCATACTCCCCAGAAAGCAAGGTTGAACCCATACACAAAAAAAAACCTACTCACTCTAAGCAAAACCAAGAGTCTTGGAAACACCATGAGTTATCTACCAACCTTGCTCTATCCACTAGGTTTGGTCTAAGCAAAGCTTGCTGCTGAGTACCCTGCATTTTTCCAGCTACTCTACAATTCATTGACCCTCAACCACGGGGCCGCTTGATTCATTGAAGAAACATGCAATTTCAATTGCAATCGGTTATGTCTATGTGGTGTTCCATTCGACCCATGTTGGAAAAGTACTATTTCACAGCCACGGGGCGTTTAGAAGAATAAAGAAGGTGATGGTATACGCGAAGGCGCCGGAGGACACGATCTTGTTTGCATAGTACTTCAACGACCGCTGCCGGGGCTCCTGGCCACGGTTGGCTCTTGACTCCTTTGGCTCTTGATTAATTTGAAAAACATTGGAAAAAACACACACATGTCAAGAGGTTTCACAATTCCAAATGGGGGGGTTTGTTCATCAATAGGTCAAGGGGGCGCCATACTGCTTCCCACACCTCAAGCACTCTGAGGACGAATCTTTTTGAGGTCAAGGGTCTTTCATGGTCATTCTCTTGAAGCTACTAGGAGCAAAGGACGCTACTAGGGCTCCTGGCCTTACTACTAGGAACAAGAACGCTACTAGGAACAAAGGGCATCGCTACTTGAAGGTGCGGCCCTCATCGGCACAAGAGACCCATCTTGAATCCGCTCAAAGAGGAGTGCTGCATGAGGCCCTGCAGCACCCCTCGGAGTATCCTTCTATTTGGAGTGGAGTCGACCCGTTCGTACGGAAAAACAAAGGCGGGCCCAAGTCCTTTCGTCCTTCCCTGGCGTTGAGTGTGGTCACATCCCGTTTTCTAAGGTACGAATGAAGTCGGGGCCAGGTATATTCACCCTCTCAACAGTTGAAGGTGGAGGGACTGCAGGGTGCAACAGCTCGAAGACTGGGGGCACAAAGAGGCATGACGAGGAGGAGGGAGGAGTATCATTGAGCCAGCTCCTTCTGATTGGTATGCCAAATAGCCATTTAAGAATGTCTTGATTCAAATTGACCTTCAGCCAGTGACTAAACCGCATGGGTTCTCCCTTCCATCACCTTCGGACCACCCCCGCTCCATGGATGGCTGCGGCATCAGGTGCATGCTCACGCGAACGCTCCGAAGCTTCTGTGCTTGACCTCAAGTGGTCGGTCGGGACGGTCGGGACCCATGGAGATTGGGTGGATTGAAGGGGCCAGCCTGCGATCCGATCCCTTCGATAGCGATACATCCTGCTAGGATCTTCCAACTTTGCAGAATTCAGAATGACGGCCTTTTCAATAGAACCAGCAAAAAGGCAAACATGTTTGGGAGATCCACTGGTTATTGAAAACAACACTCTCCAGCCGCTCTCCCCACAAATCAAAAACCACGGGTCGAACATAGAGACGCCTTTTTCATCTTTTTTCCGGCCAAGAAAGGCATGTCTCAGCATCCCGAGTTCCTCCCCCCAGCATGTCTCAGCTTTACCAACCAGAGAGGGTAGCAGCCAATCCACTGGGATGTGAGGGCTCGTCCGTCCAAAAAGGTGAAGAAGAACAAAGGCTCAGCACTGGAAGGTCGCATTCGTGCTAAGCGGCGCAGCCGCTGGAAGGTCGTTTGGCCCTCAAAGGGATTCAACTCTCCTAGGGATCCAAGTACGTCCTCAGAAGGTACTTGGACCCTCCAACCTACAGTGGTTTCAGAGTAGATGGCACAAACACCTAAGAGGTGGTTTATATGTGCCCCATCTAAAACAATCTTTTGGGGATTGTGCCATCGAACCTCTGAAACCACTGTAATCCATGGGGCCTGCTGATCTCTGGGCACCAAAAATCGGGAGTCGCCACTGGGGGTCGCCATCTTTCCTTGTCCCGGAGGTGAACAGTATACTGAGATGAACAGTTGCTCCGGTGACTTCTACAGTCCCTAGGGATCCAGTCGTACCTCCTCAGAAAGGTATTTGGATCCTCCTGGCACCCAGCCCAGTCCCACCTTCCAAACGAAGGTACGACTGGATCCCTAGGGAGTAGACTCTGTAAGCCTCTCTGCCAGAATGAACAGGGACCCTCCCTGCTCGTCGCCATTCCCACGTGACCTTCGACCCAGGCACTTTGTGCGCGCTGCCGGTGAGCCACGGTGCTCTTGCGCACGAAGGAGTGCCGAGAGCCTCGGGGTGAATGGAGTAAGGGCGACGATGCAGTAGCACCCCTAAAAGGTGGTAACTGGGGTGGTATTGTTAGTCTCCAAGTGGATGTGACAGGGATCACACCTATCTTCCCATTTTGCTCTTGGAACTGCGGTGGGTGTTTTTTGTTGCCTCTTCTGGCGCTGCTCAAGCTTACGCAAACATTGAGTGGGGAGGAAATAGGTCTTCAGCTGGATTTGGCTCATTTTGGCTCATGGATGGCCCATGGATAGGGATGACGGGCGGTGTGAGGGATTATGACTGGATCTGATCGAATATCGATGGCAAGCAGCAGCACCTGTTTAAACACACACCGCGCAAAGCTGAGCCGGGGAAGCGCCGGGAATCGCTAGGGGCTCGGACGTGGCCCCGGAGCTGTCACTGCATGCAGCACTCGCAGCACTGGTTGGTATCAACTCACTTGAAACAACATAGTCAGTGGGTTCAATCATCCCAAGTAAAGGGTTGAACATCAACATATTATATAATCTGAACCCACCACCCAGAATCAGAACATCTTGTCATGATTCACTTGGTGATCCTCGGTGTTTTGAACTCGGAGGATGATCGTGTGGACGATGTCCTGAGAGTCTCATGGAACTTTCATCTCCCAGGCATGACTGATGGAACTGCCATATATGTGTGTATTTTCATATGGAGATCCCCTGGCCTCAAAAACATATCTTTCTTCCAGGGGGTCGTTGCCTGGCAGATCTCCCTCTTTTAATGCACACTCATATTTACTTACATTGGGGTGGTTTCAACGGGGTCAAGGTAGGCAAATATACCAAACACATGGTGTGGCTTGACCAAAGTTACCAAAGTTGCTGGTTCCCTGGTCCGCTACAAGCCAGTGTTCTTGGATCACCCCTCAGAATAACCTCTCTTCCAGGAAGGGGGTTTGATGAGTTTGGCCGAGTCTGGCCTGCATGGTCAGGTGGCCAAGTGGCATGCATCTCTTCAATGGAATGAGGGAATGGATCCAAAGGAATCTCTACAGTACAATATTGCAGGTTGGTTTCCTCATCTTCTGCTTTGGTCGACCCCAGTCAGCTTCAAGCTCCAAGATTCTCTTCGAGCTGGAAGTGCTCGAGCGCGATTGGAAGAACAGCCTGGATTGCTCCATGTGCTATTAAGTGCTCTGGGTCGTCCGCGCTACAATCGGAAGCGCCAATTGGGGGGAAAAGGAATGACAGCGGTACAGGGCATACAAAACCTGGAAGGTGACAGAAAGTGGATGAGACCAAGTCCAGTCCAGGAATGGATGAGTTGAGACAAGGTCCAAACATGGATGAATTCTTTAATCCTTTTCCTGGTTTCTCGAAGACGGAGAACCTAACTGATGAACCTCACCTGGTCTTGTTCCTCAAATCACGTCTGTGGCGGACCTGGTGTGCCAGAAGCTCCTGTTTTTAGTTGGTTCTCCAATGTTTTCCACCTACGTCATGACATGGAATCCACCTTCCGCAGCACCCGAAAAATCTATAGACCACCCACATCTACCCACCCACCAGGCCAGCTGGACCGAACTCTGCTGCGCCCCGTTCGGGCCCAGCAGCTCGGTCTTCCGGGTCTTCGTCTTCTCACCTTGACCGCGCGAGGCCGCTGCGACTGCGACCGGCCGTGCTCGGACATGGGAGACGGATGAATCCCGAGGGACACACACCCTGTGAGGAGGTGATGGAAGACTCTTTTATGGTTGGCTTGGAGGGTCCAATCACCTTCTCAAAGGGTATGTGGATTGCTATAGGGGATGGTGTAGGCAACTGCCAAGTCAGCTAGAGAAAGGGGTGCCTCTAAGTGCCTATTATCCGACAATAGTTCCGTCCAGGTGGCTAGAAATGGCAGCCCTTTAGTTCTTGACAAAGTATTGGCGCATGCTCTCTCTCTCTCTGTTTTTGTGCTCATATCTTTCACAAACAATTACAAACAACACCCACTTCCAGGTGCGGAAGACCTTCCGGTTTTTTGTCAGGGGTTCCAGTGGTGCCGTGCCAAAAACGCGTCCATCGCGAGCAGGATTTTGACATAGTATAGATATATATAGCATGATATGGCCCTTAAACCAGATCCAGAACTGGGGGTCTGGCCCACCAAGCACTTGAACAGCTTGCTGCCCGCTGCCCGCCGTCCAACTGGTGCGAGCCTTTTTCGACCTCCACTCCCGGAGATCCGAACGTTGAACCGAACCGCATGGCATGCGCCGATACTCCGCCTTTGGAGAAGCACCTGATAGGTGGGGTGTTCCGGTGTCCACACACCCCCAAAAAAAAGAAAACAGGTGAAGTGGACTTCTCATGGATCCACAAAGCCTCTCAGAAACTGATAGGTTCAACCATTTGATGTAACCTTTAGAGGGTCCAGTCGTGCCTTCTGAGATGGTGGCAGTGGCAGATTCCCCAAAAAGGTTGGTTGTCCACTGTTCCTGGGACTTGAGACCTCGGAGGATCTGTTTCACCCTTCCCATCTTACTCCATCGCTGCAATCCGAGGAGCAAGAGGCGTCGCTCTGCGGCCGGGGTAGAACGAAGGGGACCGAACAGGTGGGTCGAATCACAGGAGTGTGGTGGAGAGACTCACTATGACTCACTGGTGAGGTGTACCAAAAGCCGGGGTCCCTTGACTGAAGAGTATATAGATCGAAGGTAGAGAGGTACGTACTTAGAGAGGTATATGGTGTTTGAGGGCTTGCTAAGGGGCTGGTTTGCATGGATTCCACGGAAGGAAGTTCTTCCCAAAATTCATGTCATGGATTTATTTGGATTATTGATGTTGACAACAAGTCATGGTTTGGATCATTGGATGCAAAAACCTCAGATGCCACACAAAATGTATTTAGCAACCTCCACGTCACATGAAACACGACTTTGCTCTACCACACTTGAAAGACTCCGCACTACCTGTAGTAAGTAAAGGTGCGCAAGTCATACATAAGCTTGCTTGTGACTGTAAATGAAGCATCGGCGAAGGGCACACATACGATTCCGTATACAGTGGTTTCCGAGTGGATGGCACAACTCCCAAGATGTCTTTTAGATGGGGGGTTCATAATAAACCACCTCTTAGGGGTCTGTGCCATCTACTCATCCACTGTAACTAACATGGCATCTGGTCAACATGGAAGCTTGGGGGTGGGCAACAAAAAGGTCGGTTCCTAATTATCTATCTGACCTGAGCATCACCCCAATGCCACCACTGGAGTCACTGCAAGCGAACCATATCAAGGACCCTTCACAACTGTGAAGATGGACACTTGCTTGCGTCGAATAACATATACCATGGCACCATGTCGAAGCCTTCAAAGGCACCAAATGTCAGCTTCTTGCAGCCTGTTTTTCCTCGACCATGCAAAAAGAGTCCCATAGACCCCAGTGAACATCCAGGTCTTATATCTATCGGAATCGTTGCAAAAAATGACTTGTGAATACCTTTTAGCAAACTGCAGTGTCGAAGATCCCAAGTTACCCTGCACAACTCAAAAGTCAGTGAGGATCGAAAAGATAATCTTTCGACACCAGCAAAGAAAAACAAGTGAATGGCCTACTGAATCAGCCCATCTCACAAAAAATATCTTGAGGGGGGTGGAACACAAAAAAAACATGATCAAACAACGTTCGCCGACGTTTCGCGATGACCGTGGCACCTCTTCCTCGGCTTCCTCGATGGAATCCATCGGCGGATCCGAGCCTGATTTCTCAAGCGGCGAGCGGATTGGAGTGCCGAAGACAAGTGTCGAAGAGGCAAAGCAAGCAGTAGCAGCTGGAAAATGGTGGATTATAAAGCAGTACCCTGAAACAGGTCGTCAGTCGAGGATTTGTCTGGACCCGGTTTCAATGACCTGTCGGAGCGTACACGGAAATGGATCCGCCGGTTGACGGGGCTGAAAAGACCGGCCACTACTTTTTAAAAGCTCGGACCAAAGGCCTCGGTGGGATGGCCGACACACCGGTATTGGGAAGGTCTCCACCGTCCCCAACAGGATTCGCCCGCCTGTGAAGCTATTGGACTTTGGAGTTGATCCAGTGAAAATATTCCTGAGATGCGCGCAGGCAAGACATTCTGTAGGGCATAGTTGTCACCCAGGCGGAATCCAGTGTAACAGTGTAACAGCAAGTTAATCAAGGATGCCTCCTTATTACAGCAACAGAAATAGGTGTCGATTAAATAGACTTAGACTGGGTAGGACAGGAATCCAGTCTAATGGATCGTCGGTGTTATATCACTGGGTCTTCACTTGTCCCTCCTTGCCCCACTTCTGCTCTATCCATTCTATAAGTCCACCATGCAAATTCTGTTTGCCTCCGAGGGCTGTGATTCATGGAAACTACCCGCCGCAAGACCTGTCTGACGTCGACGAATCGTCTTGCGCCCGGGCATCAACAGGCTGTTGCGGAAGGAGCCTCCAGCACTCACCGGTGGCTCAGACCTCTCCTGGAAAAGAACGAGAAGAACTACTAGGACCTTCAATGTGACAGCCCCGAAGTGATCTGTGTTTACTATCTGTTTTTGTCCGTTGGGGTGGTCGGTGGAGTAACAATGTTGCGGGAGCTCCAAGTGGTACTTGGTCTTGCAAAGGTCTTTCCAGTTCGAGACGTGCAAAGGGGCAAAGCACGTGTCTAAAATCATATCGAGTTCCATTGGCCGGTGTATTGCTTTTGAATATTGGATGTTTAGGTGTCATGTAATCAATCTTGTCTTTCACGGGCTTATGATATGCTTGGGTTGGGCGTGCCTGAACATGGTTAAAACATGAATCTCAAAACCATACAAAAGCCAACATTGCGTCGAACCGTGGATCAACTACTCGCTCTTCTCTGGGAGGTTAGATAGGCCTGAGTTCCTTTGGGAAGGGCCTGGTGGAGTTTCAAGGCAAAAAAATATTCAGCTGATTGAAATATACAACTTTTTTTGACGTCGTCCCTTCAATCCCTTCAGTCGAACCATCAACAAACAGGTCAATGGAACAAACAGCCAGCCTGAACGCTCCGCATCTGCTGGAACTGGGGGTCTGGGACATCTGCGCGGATGCAGCACTGTCCTTGAGCTTGGAATTTTCCAAAAGCCTCACCACTTCTGCGAGCTGATTCTCCACCTGAAACGCGGCTTTGCCGAGGGACCATGGAGGGTGGAACCCGGCCCGATCTTGGATGAGATGATCTCAGAATCCACCACTATACCATACTCATTCATTCGACCATTTCCAACATGTTGCAGGTCGCCTCGGTCCCACGTTTCGAAACGAGACTGGATGAAAACGAGACTCTCATGGCTCGCCGAGGCACATGCAAACGAAACTCGGCCACCTGAACGCTCAAGGCTCGCAAATCCTCACCTGGCTCCGACGCCCGATCCGACGTCCGCGCTCCGCGCGACGCGACGCGCCCAACCGGTTCGGAATTGATCAGACGGGCCGGTATCAGTGTAGGAACCCGGTGGAATATGCCCGAAGGTGGGTACGCAATTAGGATTTAATATAGGATAATATTTAATATAGGTATATTAAGGCTTACATAGGCCATACTTACCTGGATGGATGGTCTGGGAATGGGACTGAAATGTTTTGTGGCACTGCAGAAAGACAAAAATAACACACACACACACAACAATGTGGGTAAAGAGGCCAGTCCCATGGAGTGTCTGGGGTATTGAAACAGGGAGGTGAAGATGTGTCAAGAGTTTGACTTGCGCAGCTGGGCGAGGTGGAAAGCTGGGCTGGCCGGGCCGTCTGTGGTGAAAAGTGTTGTTTGTTTGATATTTGTTTGTATGGTAGGTACGGAGTTCCTCTCAAATTGCTCAAAGAATCTCAAATGGATCCTTTCACCTTTCTCCCATGTGTAAACAAACATGGCCTACTGAGTCTACTTGGTGGTTCTTGGTGGTGAATGTCGGCCATATATGTGTACATAGCGTCCGGGATGACTCACTCTTTTCGAGTTCCGTGCCAGCTGCAGCAAAGTGTCCCTCTGAGCATGCCATGGCACTTTGGAATTAGCAAGGCGAATCGAGTTGTGAAGGCTTGTGTTATGACACATCACTGTCTCTCAATGTGTCTGGCCGTTGGCTGTCGGCAAAACATAAGATCTGTTGGTTTTGCAGTCTGGCCAACATTATTGGAAGCTACAAGCAGCTTAGCATCAGAATGATTTAAGAGCCTGTGTCTGTGCCAGTGATTGTGCTGAACAGAAACAAACCCAAACTCTTGGACGTTCCGGTAAAGTCAGAACCACGATGACGCCGGGGTCTCTGGTGTTCAGTCGGAGGGAATGCCCTACCAAGCTTCCGAAAAGCACCAGGCCCGTCCCAAAGAAGCCTTGGCTGAAAATTGGGCTGGAGAAAATGGTTTGAACTTGATGGGGACTTGAGACATGGAAGGGAAATGGTGCGCAGCAACAACAACAATGCCCAGTCAAATAGTTATATATAGTCTCGGCGACATTGGTGCCATTCTGATGTGAAAACCCCGTGATTGGTACTGTCATTGTCACGAGCCCTACAAATTGGACACTCGTCTGTTGATTTCTCACACCCAAATCTGTTGGAGCATCTTCCCCACTGCTTCAAGAGACTTATATAGGATGAAGAAGCCAAACGCCGATGACCTGACCCCTTCCATGGAATTCCCTACTTCTTCCACTGCCACCCTGTGAGCTAAACTAGGGTGATGGGTTCAACTTATCTTGACCTTTTGGATGCAATTCTTGGAGGGCTCGTATTGTCGTATCGAGAGGTCTTCTCCAGATCTGCAGCGGATCCCTTCAGAGGATGGAGGGTGGACAGGAACAAAGACGGCACCACCTTCAAGCCTGAAGGAGAGGCGAAGGGCAAAGGGGAATTCCGAGGCAGAATCTCCGAGGCCCAAAGAACTCCATGGTACTTGGGACCAATCTATAGATGCCTGATCTGCCAAGAACAAATACCTGGCAATCAAGAACTAATCATGAACCCCACCAAGAAAAAGGATGTTCAAATGAACCAAGCTCTTCGGTTCTGCCTCTGGGGCAGTTTTGGATGGTTTTGGCATTGAAGTCTTCCGAAGCGATCCTCGTCTTTCGGCGCTCTTCACAAGTCTTTTCGTCGCACAGCTCTCGGTGCGAACACCTGGTCTGAGAGATCACCAGCCCGAAGCTTTGGATCCTCATGTGGGTCAAGAAGCTCTGGATTCCCTGTCGAAATTGTGACTTATTAAGTATACCCTGAAAGAAAGTAACCCGTGTGTTACCCTTAGTCACCTCTAAAGACTAAAGATCTCTAAAGTACCCTCAGCATCCCTTAATATCAACCTAGTCCACAACGAAACAACGAAAACATCGGTGGGACCTGGCATGCCAAAAACACCGGATCCCAGGGACATGACGTGCCACCGGTGCTCCGCGTCCTCCGGTGCTTAACCCACGGAATCGGCGGGCTCGTGGCGTTGCAGCCACGCAGCGTCGAGACCACGGTGTTGGTGTGGAAGGAAGAGGCACTGACCGATGGAAGGTGTGAACAATGACTAGAAGTAGTAATATACTGTATATGATTAGTCATATATATCATTCATATAATGATATGTATATTACATTATATTAAATTACATATGACGTCAATGAAGAGGCACTACAAGAGTGCCTCAATGAAGGAGGAAGTCAATGAAGATCAAGCAAACGACAACAGCACACACAATAACAAGAGTGATACCCTCCCGAAAACTAACATGGACCCTGAAAACCACTGGTTTGTAGAGGAAAACAGTCTTTCAGAGTGCCGTTCTCAGGTCCCATGTTAGTTTTCGGGAGTGTAATGTGTGTGTGCCCAATGCATCCCTCCCACGACGAATTGCATTGCTCTTGCAAAAGGTACATTGGCCGCTAAATCCCTCAAACTTGCAACCTCCTTGCCTGCTAGTCATCCATGTCATCGTACGGCGCGTCGTACGGGCAAACAACAAGTCTCAAGATTCTGATTGAACACCGTGGAGCCATCACGAAATATGGATCTGGGTCATCTACATGATGCTACCTGGTAATGCACAAAAACTGGACACAATCTTCAGACTGGACGATTTGGACACCTCTCAAATGTGCACCGCGCCCGGTCTTGAGTAGACCCGCCATAATCCCATGAATGATAAAATGACAGTAGGGATGAACAGTACTTGTTCACCACACTCCACCGTCAAACCAATCGCACAGCGCCTCAGGAGTTCCTGGAACCCGACCAATCCCAAAGAGATCATCCTTCCACACCGGAAGAAGAGATGTGAGCCGAAAAAAAATAAAAACACATGGTGAGACATAGTGAGACCAAGGCCCCTCCATCCGGACCGGGAGTAGTGCAACAACTTCGAGCATCCATTTGACATCATTCAACGGAACATCCGACGATTCAACACAAAACCAACAATAACAAACCAAAACACTCTGTCCGAGAAGCGGTGGGTCTGGCGGAAGTCTCCATCCATAGGCCATGGTAGGTCCAGGTTCCGGCCGGAAGAAAAACGTCCGGTGATCGTCTCGTCTACCCAAATGGAAGCAAACCACCTATAACTCATGTTCTTCCAGGCATATGAGCAACAAATAGTGAACATGCGCAAATCTGACCAAGCTTCATCAACTTGAGATGAGTGATTCTATGCCTGAACGGTCTCCGAACCCACCGGCTGTGGGCCTTTAAAAGGCTTCCTTCAGCTGCGGATCTTCAGCGAGGTCCACCGGGGAGGCACTGGAGAAGAATTTGGAAATGGTCTCAAGTTGCGTCTTGATGTCCAGGGTTTCCTGTCAAGACTTTGGGCTCATTCCAAACGAGCAATTGCTTGCTGCTACACTGCTAATTACATGACGCTGCGTCATGCGTGGAGCTCACATTCTTTATCGGTGCAAAGGTGTTTCAGGTACATGGTGCACCTGCGTTCTGATTCAAGTACAATTGGAATTAGTATAGATGGGTTGTATAGCGACTCTATTCACTCAATTGCCAAATTCTCTGTCTATTAACTGAACACGGCTCTGACACTGAGATCGAGACGGGCCGGTAAACACTCACGAGAATACGAGAACCCTCACTATTTATATAGAATATAATGCATAATAAGCTGTTGTAAACTCAAGTCGTGGTCAAGTCATCATCTTTATTGTAAGGCAACTGAGCCATGTTTTTGTTGGTATATACTATACACTGGAAACATACCTTCGCATCTGCCTTCGCACACCTTCGCAAGACATGTTGTATTTTTAACGCTGCTCAACTGAAGATGTGAACCCTCACAGCTTGGGAATATCAATGTGCCAGTAAGACTGGATGTTTTAGGAAACACATGGAAAACACCATGCATCCCCTTGATTTACTGCCTGGTTGTCTCAATGTGTGATTGACTTGACCACCCCAACTCCATATCATGTATGTTCAATAAACAACACAAGATTCGATTGGAACAACGTGTTTGTGAGGCACAACGCACATCAAAACTGCAAAATACATAATAACATTATATAACATTGGTATCTTAAACTTGCACTATATTTATTAGGCTCAAACCAGCATCTCGCTCGCAAAACAACAGTGCTGCCAGCCTGGCCCAGGTTCCGGATGGCTTGTCGTGTCAGCCTTGAAGTAGCAACCAACAGTCTACCGAAATCTTGCAGAACACATTTCAATGCAAAAAAGGACATCCGGAACTCCCACCCAGCAGTTCCAAAGGAATGGTTTTTGATCCCATCCGGGGACTCCAGTGGGTGGATGTTCTGGGCACCCTTACCCTCCAATAGGCACCCCTTTGGAACTGCTGGATACATGTGGATACAGTACTGTAATTGTGGTTGGTTCCAGCCCAGTTAGCAAAATTAAAACCATTTCAAGGAAACATATTCCTTCTGGATTTTTGGGAAGGCCTGTCTCGTTGTCCAGAGAGAAAAACCCAAGCAGCTTGTTCTCAAAGCTCATTTTTGCAATCCTTAGCTGTCATGGCTGTGGAGCTTTTGATTGGAATCTTCGGTCGACGGTCATTGGGCAATAGCACGGTGCTGTTCATGTTTTGCTACTCACAACCAAATTAGTGCAAACCTTGCCTAGCCGCCTAGCATTGTTGGTCTGCAACAAGACTTGGGGACGACAACGGCCTGAAAAATACGGCCATGGTTTGTCAGAGATCGACAAAATCAGCCGAGCCGGGTTTTCCTTTGCTCAAAAGAGGGCTGGGACGGAGCTTGCAGTCATGGTGCTGCAAGCTCTTGGCCGGCCCATGAAGTTGCATGCATCCTGCGACAAACTCATCCAAATCTATAGTACCGTTCTTGTCAGCATCCAGGAGCATGCAAAGAGTCCTGCACGGTTCGCACATCTTTCGTGGGGTGGGGCAAGTAGGGCCGTAATCCGGCGCCTACGACTCCTGGCTCCTACAGCGTTACACTTCAAAAATAACACCAAACCACAACCACCGGCACCGTAATCCCGAGGATAAATCAAAAACACTACCCAAACATAAACAATAACACGCACACAATGTCGGAGACCCATACTACCAACATGGTCGATTTCGAGGACTTATCTTTAAATTGGACGCTACAAGTAACTGTCCACCTCTGTCCACAATGACAAGCCGCGTTTTCACCAGCAGGATTTCTTCCCCCAAAGGCACGGACTCACGCAAACGCACGTTCCACCGAGGCCGTGGAAAACCGCATGGCACAGCGACATCACCTTTCGAAAGTTTTAGTTGTGAGATGTTGTGAGTTGTGAGTCTAATGAAAAAGGCTTATGTGTTTTGTATTCTGGAAGTTCTTTTTTGCAATATTGATACGCGTTTAATACATGATTGTATGTATATATTAACTTTTTCTGGACGACTTTCGGCTTTCGGCTATGAAACTCTTCCCAGGTGTACCATCTTTGCGGGCCCCCCCACTTTAAAAAACGCACCTGAGTCTTTGGCGGGGGAATATAGGTGGAACGGATTAAGCAGTCTTGTTTCTGCTGCAATAACTGTGAGGTTACAGCGACGACGACTATGCAGCAACTAGTTACGACTTTGCAGCAACCACAAGAATGGCTACTGCTTCCACTACTGCATGACAACTACAAAGAAAACTTATAAATTACAACCACCATCATCACCACCAGCAACAACAACACTCTGATCTCTTGCGAAGCACGGAGACGCCTATCTTCCTGGGCTCGGATTTAATTTAGAAATTTTTATTGCGTTTGTTTGTTTTGTTTTCGTGTTTCGTGGCAGGCGCAGTACTTTGTGGACCTTGAAGTGCAGATTTTGTGGCAAGTGCAGGACTTTGTGGATGTTGAAGTGCAGTTTTCGTGGCAGGTGCAGGACTTTGTGGATGTTGAAGTGCAGATTTCGTGGCAGGTGCAGGACTTTGTGGGCCTCGGAGTGCAGATTTCGTGGCAGGCGTAGGTAGATAGATAGACAGATAGATACTGTAGGTAGATAGGAAGGAAAGAAAGAAAGATAGATAGATAGGAAAGAACGAAAGAAAGACAGACAGACAGACAAACAGACAGACAGATAGATAGATCGAGAGATAGATAGATCGATAAACAAACAGACAGACAAATAGACAGATAGATAGATCGATAGATAGATATAGATAGAAAGATAGAGACAGACATATGGATAGGCAGACAGATTTCGGAGCTGTCGCAGCTGGCAAAACACATTGGAACAGTGTAGGTGTCAGAGAAATTTCTACCTATCGCAACAGTTTGGTGCAGTTAGCAGAGAAACAGCAAAGAGAAAGAGAACTAGCGCAGGAGGCATATTTGCTTGGTTAGAAATTTGTTGCGCCGGGGAATTCACGTCAACATATTGATTTCGTGGCAGGCGCAGGTGTCGGAGATGAAGTGCAGATTTCGTGGTGCGGGGGGGTTGGGGGGGGCGCAGCGCTCCCCCCAGCAGCACACTAGATCCTAAGGTGAGCAGCTCGTGCTTGCTTGCTTGCTTGCTTCCTTGTTTGGTTTCTTCTCTGCAAAGCAAACAAATGGAAAAGCAAAAGCAAAAAGATAAATAAAAGAGAACAGCTGCCAAAGAGAAAGAAAGAAAGAAAAACAGAAAGAAAGAAATAAAGATAGATAGATGGATGGACAAACAGATAGAAAGAAAGATAGATATAGACAGATAGATGGATAGGTAGACAGATTTGGGAGCTGCCGTAGCTGGCAAACAGCCAGGCATATTTACACCATATCAGTGAATGAAGACACGAAAAGCCAACAGAAGCCAGCAGAAGCCATGAAAAGGCCAAAAACTACCGAAAGCCAAAGTCATCAAAAGCCACCAAAAGCGAAAAGCCACCAAAAGCCAAAAGCCACCAAAGGCATCGTCTGGGAAGAAAACAAGACCGTCTTACATCTGGTAGCTGTGCCTCGGACTTCACATTCCTCCAAAGATGGGCTAGCAGCAAACAGCCAGAAGCCACGAAAGCAACGAAAGCCAAACGCCACAAAAGCAACAGAAGCCACGGAAGCCACGAAAGCCACCAAAGCCAAAAGCCACGAAAGCCACGAAAGCCAAGAAAGCCAAAAGCCACGAAAGCCACGAAAGCCAAAAGCCACAGAAGCCACCAAAGCCAAAAGCCACACTAGCCACAAAAGGCACGGAAGCCACAAAAGCCACGAGAAACACAAAATAATCCTAAAACATATTTTTTTTAAAAAATAAATAAATAAATAAATATATATATATTAATATCATTTTCTGGGCATTGAGGCATTGAGGCTTCGTGATCGAGAACGAACCCACATCAACTGGGCCTTCTCCGAATGCAAATCCAAAAGCTTCACAAACCAACATGTCTGTGCGGTTCCGCGTGGCGGACATGCGAAGACACCGCAGGAACTCGCAGTAGGGATCAATTTTGCAGAGTAAGAAGTCGAGGAAAACCATCCTTGAGAGGGAAATCCAGCTTAAGCGAGAAAACCCAGTGAGCGATAGAGCTAGTAGTAGTAGTAGTAGTAGTAGTAGGTAGTAGGTAGTAGGTAGTAGGTAGTAGGTAGTAGGTAGTAAGTAGTAGGTAGTAGGTAGTAGGTAGTAGGTAGTAGGTAGTAGGTAGTAGGTAGTAGGTAGTAGGTAGTAGGTAGTAGTAGTAGTAGTAGTAGTAGTAGTAGTAGTAGTAGTAGTAGTAGGTAGTAGGTAGTAGGTAGTAGTTAGTAGTTAGTAGTTAGTAGTTAGTAGTTAGTAGTTAGTAGTTAGTAGTTAGTAGCTAGTAGTTAGTAGTAGTAGTAGTAGTAGTAGTAGTAGTAGTAGTAGTAGTAGTAGTAGTGGTAGTGGTAGTGGTAGTGGTAG